CCAACCCCCCGCCACCTCCCCATACCATGCCATTTCATCACTTTAGCGAGCCGACCTCCTGCCTGGTCTGCTCATCACATTGGTCATTGTCTATGTGTGAAGTCACCAAACCAGTAGTGAGGAGCTCCAGGCATAAACCCAACCCCACTCCGCACCCACCCCCACAACAGCCTCGGGAGAAATGGTGGTTTAGTTGTATTTCTGGTTTCGGAATATGCTTCACTTAAATGCATGAGTCTACAGTGAAACCCGCACATTATTTGGGATTTGTCATTCGCAAATTGACATGTTCAATTTTTTTTTTTAAGTGGGTGGGGGGGGGGCATATCGTGGGTTCACAGTACACAGCACAAGCCTAGATTTTTATTTGATTTATTTTTTAACTCAGTCTTGTGATGTCCACACAGTTTCTCTGCCCATGACTTGGAGGGTGAAGATCAAAAGCCACTTTCAAGCTCCGGCCAGTTTGTACGAAAACATACTCTAAGTTTTTGGCATGTGGGATGAAGCCAAGCACGGGGGGAAAATATGCAAAACCCAGAGTGGAGGGCCAAGAATCAACTGTGTGTCAGACATGCTCACCACCAGGGCAACATACTGCTTGTGAAACTACAATCCAAGTTTTTACAGACTGTAGGAGGGGTGTTCCGTTCTTGGATTCTTCGAATTCATCGTCCAGAAATGTAATACTGTACTAATCAGAATACTGTGTTTTGACTCATGGGGGGGCGTACATAAAGCATATTTTTGCAAAGAAAGTTTTTTATCTTGGCTTCCCATTTAAGGTTTAGGGGTTATGACTTTTAAACCAAAATCAACCATGACTTCCTTCTTGCACCCGATCAAAAATAGCCATGGCTGCTCTAGCGGCAATCCAATGCTGATGCGAACAGGCCAAGCTAGCACGTGAGCCAGTGGTTGCGTGTAACATCGCTCAAGAAAACTGACACCATTGTTCCAGCTCCCCCAACATGACGCCGCGGCCCCCGCCGAAGGCCTCCCCCCACTCCCACCAGCTAATGTTGCAGCTAAAAAGGAACTCATGGAATGGAGTCATGTGAGCGCGCTGGCTTCGCCGATGTATTTACAGTTGTCAGTTGTCCCGAGGGGCAGTCAAGGCAGCACGGGTGAGGTCCCCCAGTGTTTATGTTAGACCTGATATGTGAGTGTGTGTGTGTGTGTGTGTGTGTGTGTGTGTGTGTGTGTGTGTGTGTTTTACACTTACTATATCTATATGACAGTTAAGGCTGATTTGTTTTTATGCTTTACAAATAGTGGTGGCGAGCACATTTTTAGTTCTAACAGTTCAAGGTCAGAGGGAGCATTTCATTGTTTTCATGCCTTTCTATTTGCGGTGATTCATTGATTAATACATTTTACCATTGGTACTTTACTTTCGGATCAATCACAACTTATTTTTATGTTTGTCAAAATTAAGAGCTTTTTTTTTAAAATTTATCACACTGTCAATGTTAACAGCAGTTAACCTACATTTACACTTGAATGAAAGTTCAGGTTCTGACTGAGCGTTTTATTGTTTTACACTTTACTGTTGGCGGTGTTCACTTATTTTTACACTTGCATGACTCAAGCATGCTAAAATGTGACTTGAAACCTTGACTGGCATGATTGATAAAGTTACGTTGTTATCCCCCACCCCGAGGGCCTTATTTTGAGCCCTGAATTAGATGAAGTCTCCAGTGTTTCCATGAAATCCCTCTGTGGATAAAATTCGAAACCGAACAGCGGTGCAGCGGATTGCCCCTTTCGTGCTCCTGTTTCATTCACGTGCTGTATGATGGCATCTGTGTTTATAGAGGCTGCAAAACAAGCCCCTTTGCTGATGTTGCATCGGAATACGCTGCTTCACTTCCACGTGGATCAAAGTTAAGGAACTCACCGAAATAACTGCGGCGAGCCAGTCAAGTCTGGACGCACTCATACAAATGCGCGCGCACCTACTGGCACACACTGTAATGCAATCCACGTGAAGTATAACGCAACCTTGAGGAAGCCAGCCATTTCCTGCACTTAAAGCATCCAGTCTGTGATCTGCAAATGCAGATGCCGCCGGTAGGACTCAAAACCCCACGAACTTAACCACCATCTGGAGTCGTCCATGCAGTTGTGCTGCACGCGTCTTTCCAGTTCAACATAAGCAAGCCACGTCGGCAGCCACTGATGCAACAGTTTCCGCCCAGAAAAAAAAGAAGTGTAGTAGTAACAGCATCCCGCCAGACCTCACTACTGAATGCCAGATTGTGCGTAAAATATGATTTTGGTGCGTAGCTCTGATTTGAGTGCTGCGCAAAAGCAACTGGAACTTTGTATTATTCACGTTTGGAACACGGACTGATTGAGGCAAGTCGTGTCAGAAACTCACCGATGATGATGGCGCACGCGCTCAAAAGTCCGATTTCCTTCTTCAATGTCACCCTATCGTCCTTATTTTTGTCCTTCTTCTTCCTCTTCGCCTCGTCCGCCATCGTCTCTGGTGCCGCTCCACGTCCAGCGGGGGCCCCGAGAGTGTCGACTTCCAATCGCGTCGGAGAGAGGAGCGTTCCCGAGCCTGTGGCGGGGCACAGCCTTTATTAATACGATACACACACTCACACACGCACACACACACACACACACATACGCGTAGCGATGGGAGAGGCATGCGCATGCGCAGCGCCCACCTCCCTCAGGTAGATCGCGTTGCGTCACGTGATCTTGATTTAGCTCCCCAAAAAGCCCACCTGGCTAAAGGGATTATAATCATTATCCAGGATAATTGTTTTACGAATAATTCCAGAATTATTAATTTATGTTCATATTACAATAAAGTCCATAGTGATAGGCTATAAAAATACATTAATGCAATTAATTTCAAACTTAAATTTGAGGTGATGTGTGGGCAAAACCTACGGTGGCCCTGATGGCTGAATTGCTTTACCAAACTGAAGCCAAATCTACAGTTGTATCTGTAATATTAATTAATTCATTTACAACTGAATTTATTCATATTTCAAATCAACATTTCACATTCCAATGGATTAATTAAACAATTAATCTATTCCAGCGCTCTCCAAAATCACGACCATTTGATTGTTGTCTCTAATAAAGACATAGTGAGAATGTAAAAATATAAACAGGTGCTAATATAGAGTAGCATTACTGTATGATGTAACAAGCCGAATCACAACAGCAGTCACATATTTTGCGAACATATCTTCAATCTTTACATCATACAAAACTACGGTATCTCAGTTGAAATGACTATACAACAACAAACTAGGTCATGCTGTACTGCCCCAAAAAAGGGTGCAACCTATTCTGTGTTAATGTGACCAACTAAAAAAGCTGGTTGCACCAGTGCTACCACTCCAAACGTTACTGTAGAGTCTTGTTTATAGATTCTTCCTGTGAACACATTTTGTCAAACTCAACACTTGTGTTTGTTATTTTTATACGCACCTGCAGTCTCATCATACTGACTGGAATTGAGGTTGGCCAACTCCCGACTCCCATTAGCTCTTGGAGATGTCATTAGCCTGGGCGTTCACATACTCTTTCCACTCTGCACTGTGAAAGTGTACAAGGTGGGTCCAATAAAACTATCAAAATATAGAAACATCATCATTGCTTGTGTGTTATTTGGTTACCTGTTGTTGTGACTTCAATGAAGATGAAATTTCATTTTATGACCAATTTAAGCAGAAATCCAGATCAGTCCACATGGATCACATACTTTGTTGGCCTATACATTATTCATTATCCGACACACTTTTGTTGCACCCAAAAAAAATATTTATATACCTGTATATATATTCACTTTTGCGCTGCCTGTGATACTATGTGCAAATAATAAACTACTATGTGCAAATAATAAAGCTCCCAGTTGACTATAATTTGTCAATGGAGGTCACATGGCGGGAGAGAGAGAAGGAACAAGTTTGTGTCGTGTCAGCATTCTGGGCACAAAGCGACCACTTCCTGTTGTTTTAGCTAAGGTGACACAAGGATTTGAAGGTGGAGGAACAATTCCAAAAGCTGTGTTTGTGTAACTTCATCACACACACACACGCACAATACAGTTCAAGGAATTAAATGGCTAAGTTGCATCTGGCAAATTCCAACAAGCGCACAATTAACTTGCAGGGTCACCCTCCTCAGAAAGGAGACTCCCCTTCCCCCTGACATAAAGAAGGGGAGGCGGGGGCAACGGGAACACTGGGCTTCAGTGTGACAGTGAGATGGCACGAGGGAGAAGAGGAGGAAAGACGAAGCCACCAAATGCAGCGGCAGCTTCTACATTCACAACATGTAAGTAAATAATATCGCAGAAGACTCCAAATGAGAAGATGCCACCACATAGCCTGTTTGAGACCTGCAACAGTCACTGAATTGAGAGTCATCATTTAATGTGAGTGCATGCAAATAAGGGAATCATTTCATTCCATCATTTCATTCTATGTAAAAGTATTTGAATTTTGATAAAAACCAGTGCTTCTAAATTATTTTACGTTACGCCCCTCCAAGGAATAAGAAAACATTTCATGTCGCTCCTAACTCTTCACCACAACTATAAAGAATGTCATTTGCCGAAGAAAATGTTAGTACACCTCTGCGTATCATTGTATCCTTGTTAACATTAAAGAAAAATAAATGTAAAAAAGAAAGAAATATAGACCATTTTACCTGGAAATAAATAAAACAAATAAAAGAGAGCACTACTGCCATCTACTGCAGTGGATGTGCAATTACACTTTATTCAAGCACAAAAAAGAAGCATGTCACACTATTTTAGCAGGACGAATTAAAAGCCTTTTTTGTTATTTTTTTTTTTACCCTTTATAATGATGAAACCGCCCAGAAATGTGGAGTTGTCTCAACACCCGCATCCCCCACGGGGACGACGTCCCTGATCCGCGGGGTCCTGATGTATCAGCTTGAACCTTCAACTGTCAAATGAACAGCGATGAATCCATGGTATTCGGCTTTTGAATAGACATTATTTGCCTCTTGTGCTGAGCACCAACAGTGTGACTGAATTAGCCTTTCTAATCTGACACAAATATGTACTGATGAACTCACCAAACACTTGGATTTGTTAAATAAACAATCTGCTTGCCAGTGTTATGCAACACTCACTTACAAAGTAACTGTGTGTTTGTGTGTGCGTGCATGTGTTTGCGTGTGGGTGCGTGCGTGTATGTGTACAAGCCAATTTGGTGTTTCTAGCTGTGCTCATATTGTTGTCGTTCTACGACGCACGCCATTTCGAATGATCGATTTTCCACTTTCCAAAAAGACGACAACCAATTTATGTTGTACTTTTTTAAAAAGAAAACAAACTATTGATGTTGCACTTTGCCAAAAAGAAGAGAAACATTACGGTACACTTTCATGAAAAGATGAGGAATTTATTAATGTTGCTATTTGCTAAAAAGGAGACACGTTACTGATGTTATGCATACTGTAGCAATTTCAGAAGAGGACAAGCGATTGATACCGCCGTTATTCAAGGAAAACATATTGTAGATGTTGCACTTTCCTAAAAAGACGACACGATTTTGATGATACACTTTCATAAAAGAGAAATGATGTTGCGCTTTCGAAAATATAGACAAGCTACTGATGTTGCACTTTCCCAAAAAGAAGACAAATGACTGATGCTGCACTTCAGACAGAAGACGCCATTGATACTTCACTTTTCTAAAAAGAAGACAAGCTGTTGATGGGGCAGTTCACTAAAAATGAGACATATTATTGATATTTAACTTTGAGAGAAAGGAGACATGGTAGTGATGTTGCACTTTCCTAAAAGGAAGCGATCAAGAGAAGTGCATTTTTCCCCTGCAGTGTAAATGGTTAATTTGACTGCATTTTTTTTTTGTGCATGCAGTTGTCATGTTTCTCCTCAATCTCTTGACCGTGTACCTGAAAGCATGTGTAGTTGTGATAAAAAATGTAATAGGCTCCTGTGCGTATGTTTTCTGAGGCTTTTTTTTGTTTTTCACTTCAAATCCTCTCTACTACAGCATCTTCAAAGTGTGACTAGTCATACTTCATTTTACTTTGTTGTATGAGTTAGCATCCGCCTCATTCACACAAATCTGGCGAAATTCTTCAGAGGAGGCGAGAGAGAGCAGGCCATCGTTCCTCACTCTCCGTCATCCTTTCATCCGCCTCTCGAAGCATTCTCACTGTGCCGCCTCCTGGATTTGTTGTGGTTTGTTACCACACGGGGAGCCGGAGTTCTTGCAGGCCGTGAGCGGGGGCGGCATGGCAACGCCGCCTCCGCCGCCGCGCTTCCTGTCGGAGGGTCTAACACCGTTTTTGGGGGGTTTTTTTGGTGTTTTTTTTTTTTTTTTGCCTGCCCTGTGCCCCCCACTTGTGCTTGGAGAGGCGATGCACTCACAGCCGTCTCTGTGCGGCTATTGTGCAAAGACAAATGAGCGGAAAAGGCAAAAGCAGCCTCCGCTCACAGCGCTCACAACACCACAAGCGCTACAATAATTCATGTTATCGCAGAACAATATTAGAAAATACACCACAACCACATTAAGTATTCCCGTTGAGTTATTTCAGCTCAAATGTTTTGTTTCAGGAAAACAAGTGCAATGATTCACTGAAATGTAGTGACTCAAACAACTTAAGAATAAAGAAACATTTGATTTCCTGACAAATGACTCAGATATATATTGTTAAAGTCACACAAAAATAAAAACAAAAGACACCAGCTGTTAAAATTAGCGTGGCCTTCAATCTCTCACAAACAGTATTTATAAATGCAAAGAAAATGAATTTGTAGAACAAATTTGAATAACATGAACCCTCTTTAAATTGTTCCCCAAAATGCATTGTACTCATAACAACTGTAACTCAATTGTTTTGAGTCCCATGCATTTTTGTGATGACTACTGATTTTGGAGATAGGCAAAAAAAAAAAAAAAATTCAGACTGAATGATTCCAACTATTTTACAAGTTTAGGTTATGTTAACTTACTTTGTTTCATTGAGATGTACTGCTAGGTTTGGTTAGATTGTATGTGGCAAAGCAAAAACCAAACAATCGCTAGCTCATTAATACTGATGAACACTACATAATTTAGTGGACAAGATCAAGCAAAAAATCAAGTGTAGGGGAGCACATGACAAAAGTACAACTTGTAACCAAGTCAAAAATTTAATTCTAACAAACCATATTGACTCATACATCATTTTCAAGTCCTCAATGAGGGCTTTGTAGTTGTGTAACTTCAGTATTAATATGTGCCCAAATAAATACACGATGAGAGATTTTATTTATTTATTTTTTTTGATGGACAATGTCCAAAAACTGTCCTAAATTCAGCAGGAACAAGGTCAGCAATTTCAACTGACTCATAGGCGTCATTGAAGCCCTTGAGAGAGGCATTAATGTGACTTGTCCTCACATGATGACACATTCACCCACAAAATGTTTTTAACTCCCAAATTCACCAGTGATTGGGTAAAAAGTAATATTGCCACAAACCCTACTGACTTGCAAGACATATGAAAAGCCTGGCTGATGGCTTTCTATTGATATGTCCTTATTTTGACAACATTTCCTCAGAAAATTCACCAGTCAAGTCAAAAACAAAATTGTGCCAAACCACTTTGACTCATGCTTCATATTAAAGGCACCGATGAGGTTTTTCTAGACATGCAATTATGTCTACACATGTTCACATATATGATACAATGAGGTAGACTAATGAATTGATTGTCTGGAAGGATCACGTGAAAAACTTAATTGCAACAAAGCCCAGTGACTTATGTCATAGTAAAGGATCTCTAATATGCTCATTCAAGACTTGCAGGGTTGGCTATAGGCATAAAAATGATTATATTTTACTTATGGCACAATGGCGACCTAATTTCTTATGAAATATGAGTTATTTTGGTTGTTATTTTATAATCCGGAAGTAAAACGCCCCAACAAAACCCCGCCTCTCCCCACGTGACTGCCGCGCCTCTTTTATGACGTCGCCCTAAACCGGCTGCTGCCAAGGTCGCGTGAACGAATTCATATGAAATTATGTGGCTGCTTTACGCAACGCCCACGAATCAGTAAATAGTAATTAAGTCGCCTGGGAGGCGCGCCCTCATCGGACATGCATGCGCGGGACAAGCGCACTGAAGTGGACTTAGAAAAATGACATAACAGCGAAGCTCCATCCAGGGAGACTGGCGCCGCTGAGGTGGCCGCTCATCGCGCCTCTTTTCCCGGATACGCTTGTCAAGCGTCCCGCTGGCTGCTCGGAAAATGGGCGTGTCTCCTCAGTCTTATACGAATAAGATTGACGACCCAATCTTCAGAGAAGAAATTGCTTTTGAGTTGGATGAATGGAGGAAAAAACACTTTGAAGGTGTTTTGGATGAGAAATTGGCGTTTTAACATGGCCAAAAGCTAAAAGAAAAAAAAATTTTGCATGATACAGGGCCTTTCAAGTCTCCAGGGATACCGTTGTATACTGTACTGTATATGGCCTCAGGTGTGCTTGTAGCCTAGTCAGTTTGTATTGTGACAGGTGTGGCAAACGTCAAAGAAGACATGTCAATCATGCAAATTGAAACCGGTTATACATAGAGGTCATAAAATCTGTTGCCAGTTGGAAGCAAATTAAAGTGAAGACATATTATTGATGAGATAATAATGAAATCTAAAATGAATAAAACCAAGATGAAATGGTTACTATCTTGAATCATCAGACGATGTGCTGCTCATGTTGTCTGTTTGAGAGGGAAGAAATTTAATCTGTGCCTTATATTGCACATACTGCACATTTCACAATAAAGTTGTACTTGACTCATATTTCATTCTTAATTTATTTGGAACGTGTGAGCATAACAATTTTTAAAAAAATATACAAATTAAAAATAAATATTTCTAGACAGGATGGATGCTTCTGACTTCACGCTGTTCAAAATTGCATCGTCACTTTTGCCAAGATTGCATTTCCGAAACGGAAGCAATTCTGTTTGTTTGAACCGTGAATTTCTACCTCTCTCTAGTGGCCAATCGGGTTCAGTGCACAATTTGCTTTGATTTTGGTCGAAAAAAAATACACTGTACTTCTGTGTTCCACTGAAAAGTGAAAAATCAGGCAGATGTTGACTGACCTTGGAAATGAATGCGTTTCCACTCTTTCCTGTTCTTGCACAAAGAAAGAAAGAAGGAAATGGATGCTCGTGTCATAATGCAGACTGGCTGGGTGGTTAAAATAAGACATGTAACTGCAGATTTTTTGGGGGTTACATGATAGAAAAGAAAAACACCCACACGCGTGCTTGCAACTCAAATGTAAGAATATTAAAAGTAACAGCCTCTAACAGAGCCTTTAATGATAATGGCGTTGTATCGCACTACACTGAGTTTACTCACGCATTTATTTATTCACCTCGAGCGTATGGCTCAGCGGGAGAGTGGTCGTCTCCCAGCTCCTAAGTTGTGGGTTAAATCCTCACCCTTTGTGACCATGTCGAACCCTCACTTGCTCCTCATGCTGCATAGAAAAGTGCGATACTGTAGATCTGTACAAGTAAAAGCCTATTTACCTGAGGAAAATGTCAAGGCTGAAATAATGAAGCTTTGTGCCCTACTCCCACCCAAGGACAAGAAGCAGTTGGACTTTTTCATTGACACGGTTCACAAGAGTGGAGGTTCCCTGTGAGAACTTTATCGGGCTCATCATTGACCGATTCAGTATGAGCTCAGACTGAAGCAAGGGACGGCTCCAGGATTTGTGTTCTATCGGGACAAAATGGCGGTCTTGTGCAATTCCTAAGGGGCTGAGAAAAGCATTTATAAATATATATTTTACAATGTCAAATAAAAGTATAGATAGTCTACGATTTCAGACAGGGCTATAGCACAACATAGCTCCCGGTGTAGCACAATCCCTGAGCAAGATCTGGAAATTTGCCTGTGACGATGGCATTCTGAAAGAGAAGATTTAACACATGCTGACGGGATGGAAAGAAACCGGCTGTGGCCTTTGGTTGTAAATGCAAGAAGGCAAAGGAAACAGGCAGGCGTGAATTTTGCGCATGCGCGTTACTGTCGCGACAGTTGCCTGTCAGAAAGCGAAAATGGGTAAGAAAGGTTTTATTAATTTTCATTACTATTTCTATTATTATTATTCTCATCATTATTGCAACGATTCTTTCCTGAACAAACTGAGATTCAGACAATGGGTAAGTAAGAAGTGCCGTTGGCTCTGTCGTCACCAGTAGGCGGGGCTTACATCAGGAGAGGTTTGTGTGCTTTTGAGAAGCGACTTTCTCACAGCACTTGTTAGGAGGTGAGCGGAGACTCACCTGTTGACAAATCGCCGCTGGACTGCTCTTAATTCACAAATTCTTTCATACTGATTGGCGTTTTTTTTCCAACATGACGGACGCGCTTTTACCGAACGGTCTCAAGGAAAGTCGAGGAGACGACAAGTACTTCAGAAAGGTGAGTTTTCTCCCTCTTCGATTTTTTTGAACCAAAAATTCAAAATATGTTCCCCTCACGCTGCTTCCGTCAGTTTAAATAGCGCCTTTAATTGCAACGACCTGCTGTTTGTTTGCTTGTTTTTTTTTTTTTTTTTTTAATAAAACGTTTTATCCGAGTGTTGGCTGGAGAACTTGTGAGACGCGCCGCATTCAGGGACCCGTCGGGTTTGAACATGCCTCGTTCAATCGAAGGGAATCCAGATCTCAATGTAAAACTAAAATTCAGCAATAGTTTCGCTTTGTTTCTGGGAGGATGATTTTATAAAAGGTTAAAAACAAGTAACCACGATCACAAAGAACTTCTGAAAGTTGTTTGTGCTAAGATCACCATCATGGGATTCACAAGAATCCATGCAGTGTCAGTTTCAAGTGTGTGTGTGTGTGTGTGTGTGTGTGTGTGCTTTTTTTCTTGCACTGCTTCAAGAATAGAATGGGTGTGGGGAGTGGGTGGTCTGCACTGGCTGATAAGATGAATGATGTGATTGGCAGGAAACGGGAAGTGGATGGAAATTCCAGTTAAAGCCCGCCTGAGATGATTCTTAAAAGAATATTTGCCCCATATAATATCCAATACACACAAAGTGTAAAGTGGTGATGGGCAACATATTGTGTGTGGGCCCAGTGGGGCCTGCCAGAGTGTTCATTCTGGCCCGCTCTGCAATTCTAGAAGAAAATTGGATTGGATTGGATACAACTTTATTACTGTCATTAAATTTAATAAAAATGAAACACACACATTTTCATCATATGCAAGATGGGCCAGAAGTATTTATACACGTTTTTAATGAACTTAATTCATTTCGAAGAATGGATGCAAACTAAAAATGGGGTCTGAGGTGAAAGGAAAGTAGGGAAGCAGGTTTCAGCGATGGAAGGAAGGATACAAGTTTAGGATGCATGAATACAATCAAGTGTGATGCAAGGAAAGGAAAAAGGGAGACGAGTTTTAGCAAAGGAAGTAAGGATGGAAGGATGCATGAATATAAGATGTGATGGAAGCAAGAATGTCAAGCAGAAAACTATTGATCCTTCAGTGGGAAAATCCAGCAGTGAAACCAGCAAATGGTACACTAATAGACAATATTACGAATAGAACAAGTATTATCAAAATAAACCAGGTGACGAGGATTTTTTTTTAATTGACAAATGTTATTTACAAATTACACCGGATGTATATTTTGTACTCAATAAAAGCTAATAGCTGCAACATCTCAAAAAGGAAAGTTTTTTTAAGTTTATTTTTTAACTGTTCTGCCATACAAACAAAAAAATGCATTTAGTGTCTAGCTGATTTTATTGCGATTAAAACCCCCCAAAATATTTGTTTTTTCTAAATTTTTCTGAAGCATCGACCGTAAATTGTTGTCCTACTTTTTCAGTTATAAATAAATACGAGTGATATGGTCAATTTTCTCCATTCAGAAGTGAATCATTTGCGTTGAATTGTTTCAACTTGAGGACCTCCCAAAGTAAGACACTATTTTTGGCTTTGCTTGAATGACTGAATCACCTCCGCGGTGTCCACCCTTATTGTCACACGATTACGCAAGAAACTCATGACTCACACACGACACACTGAGCCACACACTCACCGGACACGACATCAGGCACGCCTTCCCGCTGTCTAATGACATCCAGTACAAAGCACATTTTGGATTTCCAAATAAATGCCTCTATCTGTGGTATTAGGGGGCCATTGTGAGTATTTCAGAGCGCCGTAACCGTTGAACTTTGATGGCACAAAAGGCAAGGTGCTGTCGTGGATAACGCAGGATGAGCTAAACAAACATGACATCGTGTTATCTTTCGGATTGCTTGTGTTGTGTTGTCAGGGACATTTTGTCATGCAAACGTGCTGCAATGGCAAACGGTGTACGGCACGATGCCGCAAAATTTTGCGTCGACCAAGCGAAAACATGCCCAGTGTTGCTGATACGATCTTTTCAACCATAAGGGTTGATGCCTTCGCACTCTCGTGATGTACGATACTGCACATAAAATAACCCTGGGGTTACACCTTTCCTAAGGGTTACTTTGATGTTTTCTCAGTTTCTGGATTTGGGTGAGCACGCCAGCTCTCACTGGCCTTACTGGAGGTTGTGGATTCTTTGCTGTTTTCCCAGTGTTGCCATGCGAGTGTTGTGACAGGCTCACTCCATCCCAACTTTCCCCTTTTGTGTCTGTCAATCCCCTTCGGAACGCCGTCTGGATTGAGGCTCTCATGGCACTTCCTGTGAGTGCGAGAGAGCGGAGCCTGGCACCACCGCTGCCTCCTTTACTGGAACCCTCGCTGGCCTCCCCTGCCCCCACCTCACGCACATACACATGCACGCACGCACACGCACACACTATGATGCTGTTGTTCTTATTGTCTGAATCTTTTTTTTTTTTTGCTGAATGTGGTGACTTATTAAAAATCCAGAAAGATTCACAACCAGATGACAATTACAAGGGAGTTGCTATTCGCACAGACGCCGCATGAACAATTCTCTATTCTTAATTAAATACAATTAAACACATGACAAAAACAAATGTGAAATATTTAATTTTGTTAATATATTTGCACATTTTGAAAATGCAAAATGCGCGACTATAGTTTTATTTACAGTACCAGTCAAAAGTTTGGAAACTTATTCAAATGAAGAGGTAGAGAAATTTCAAGCTAATAAGCCTTGACAGTGCACAGCTGTGAACTGTGCAAATGTGCTGAATGTTAGCTGAAAACCCCCACGGTCGTTTTGGCACTTTGGAAAGCTTTCTGGTCAAACTTTAAACCCAACCCATTCGGCCTTTGCTCACGCGCGTTCTGAATGATTTACAAGCTTTGGGCTGGCTTTGGGCCTTTTGCCTGCAGGGAGCTACTGTGGTTCCTCTCGGAAAGATTGCTCCGGAGAGAAAGCCAAATCGTCAGCTTTCTCCTCCCGCTGACGTCAGAGCAGCTGGCCGGCCGCCCCCCTCAGCACCCCCCTCCCCGGCAGCCAGAACCTCAAATTGACAACACGTGTCCTGCCTGGCCGGCCCAATGCGACACATGCATCCCCCCCACGAATTCTTCATGCCTAGCTGTGGCATATTTTCTCCACTTGATGCTGACTGTCTTTCCTGTGTTCCATGGTATATTTAATGCCTTTGATTTCTTTCGTACCCTTCTCCTGACTGATACCCTTGCACACTGACATCTCGGCTGACTATGGCTGTATATGCTAAAAGATGTGACTGCAAAAATATCAGGAAACCCCTACTAGAACACCTAAACTTTATCTGGCGTTCATTAGAGGCACTTTATGGTAGCAGATGTGCGCTGAATGACTCCCAATGATGTGTGTGTATGTGTTTGGTTGATTCTGGACACAACAAAAATCCCATTTATAAGAGGATTTGCGCACTTGTGCAGCCGTATTATGCCGGTTGTTTAACTGTCGTTTTCAAAAAGATTTCCTTTCTTATTCTTTCAATTGAGGTGTACATGTTATAGGTCACATTTGTTGTGGGAACATCATCATAAAACCTGACATTTGAAAAGGGGTGTGTAGACTTTTTATATTCATTGCAGGATAGTAGTTTAGGATTATTAGGGAGTGCTTGGAAAAATGAACTCCCGTAAGGAGTTGCTGGACCCAAAACGTTCATTATGAAAAGACAGAATGTCCCACTAGTGCAGGAGAGACTAGTAGGTCATTTCATAATGAGTCCAGTATGAAGCCTCATGAGTGATTCACCTCTCATGACAACAGACTGGACTCGTTTTTTTTCGCCCCAATTGTTTGGGAGAAAGGCTGCACTTTGTGAGTGTGCCAGCAAGGATGGGTCATGCTCCTTGTGTGGCCCACTGGGTGTCCTCCCACCCGCTCAGTCCATCCCCGTACCGCCCACCAGGTTGAGGTTGGACTACTACTCATAATAATTGTCACGCTTTCATGATTGTTCGCTGCTGATGGAAAGTCATGGATGTGAGGAGTGACGGCTTTCTTTTTCGTAAACATCTCTGGCGCCCACTGGGTTCAGTACTTTGGAGATTTTGCAGTGTACAGTTATGAAAGCACAGTGAAAGTGCTCATGTTGAACGCAATGCAACATGGAGGGGAAAAAATGTGTGTGTGGGGGGGGCGACTTTTATTAAAAAAAAAGTACTTTGACGATTGATTTTAATTATTTCATGTTTTTACACAATTGAACGTGAAATCGGGGACATCAGTCAATTCATAATTTCTTATGATGTCCTTCCACTGCAGCTCACAGCCATTGGGGGGCATGGCCCGATATTAGTTTCTGATGGTCTGATAATAGTCAGCAAAAATATCACGGTATTCAAATTACAGCTCTAAATTGACCTGATTTTTTCGAATGTTTTTGCAGCATCTCTTTTGTCTTGCCACCCCACCCCCACCCCTTCCTACACCTGTGTGTAATAGCTCAGCCCTTCCTTCTCTGCTTGCAGAGAAAAAGAAAAAAAATGTGCTCATTATCGTGATTGAAACCTTGATTTTAATTTTTTTTTTTTTTTACAACTGCACAGTCTCGTGTGATCCAGTGCAACCATACAGCAAATGTCGAATCTTTTGCACGAGTCAAAATATTAGGAACACCTCAGCGTGCTTTGTAGGTTGATTTTAATTATTTCATGTTTTTACACAAAATAACGTAATTTCTTATGATGTCCTTCCACTGCAGTGTTCCATTGTCATGACCGAGAGGAAACGGGCCACCGATAATCATCCCACACCTACTGACGGTACATATTGGCATGTTATTTCCAAGGATGTATGAGATGCTGTGATGTATTATTATATTATTTGTATTATTGTCCTCAGTTCATTTGTCCATTTGTTTCAGTCACATCTCAGTGTTCCATTGTCATGACCGAGAGGAAACGGGCCAAAGAAAAAGCATAAATGAACACAGTTTGGATTTATTTTGTCCGGTTGTATAATACTTGTTGCCTCCTGCCGGGATCGTCCTCTTGGAATGTGGTTCTTATCTGATAACGTAGGTGCAGAACATGGAGAAACGGAACAGAATGATGTTTACTGACCACTCCTTGCTCTCAAATAAGGGCACACGGAGTCCCGATCAGGCCATGACGCCGCTCGATTAAAAATTACTTTGCTGTTTGCGTGTGCGTGTGTGTGTGTGTGTGTGTGTAAAAAAATGGGTGGCAACCATTTGACTTCCAACCTTGAAACGCAGGAAGGATGTCGCAGGTGGTTCAAGGGAAACGTGTACAACACAACATGACAGTTGTCTTTCTGCGCACCAGCTGTGTTTTTCTTGTGTGTGGACGTGTGTGTTTTCTCACGAAGCGCAATAAGACAGCTAAAACATTCGAAACAGCTAGCGTGCCGGTCTGAAGCCACATTTTAACACTCAATTGTTTCACCACAGGGTTGTGGTTTCAAGCTAGGGTGAGGGTGTGAGAAGTTTTGGGTATGAAACGAGGCTGGGATTAAGACTACGTTTCATACTATGGTTGTTGGGCTTGTGAGGTTTTTAAATTAGGATTTGTTCCAGGGTCAAGGTTTCAGGGCAAGGCTAGGCCTAAATTTCAAAAAGGTTTTTAAACTAGGGTTAGGGATTCAAATAAGCGTTTGAAACTATTGTTAGGGTTTCAATGCTGGGTTAGGGTTTCAAGCAAAGGTTGTGGTTTTAAATTGGGGCTGGAAGCCAGCATTAGGGATTTGAATTATGGTTTAAGCCTGGGTTAGGTTGTCGAGCAAAAGTGAGTGTTTTTAAGTTGATTTACAGGACAGTGTTTGGCTACAAGGGTGAACGTTCAAGCCTGTGCTCGGGTTTCAATCAAAGGTTAAAGTCAGTGTTAGGATTTTAAACTAGGGTGATGGTTTCAAATTAGGGCGTTAAAACCATGTTAGGATTTCAAGACAAGGTTTTGCTGGGTTCGAAAATTGGTCTTCAACCCTGGGTTAGGGTTTCAGGTACTGTTTACGGTTTTAGATTAGCATTTCACTGGAGGTTGTTTTTGAATTGAGGGTTCCAGGCCGGTATAGTCTGACAAATGGAGAACGCACGGTAGCCCTAAATGCCCAAAAGACCAGAAGCCAACTGAACTACTTGTCTTTCGTTCTTGTCCACCAGGGTTGCAATCCATTCGCCCAGACGGGACGAAGCAAGCTGCAGAACAAGCGAGCCAATCTGAACCAGCAGATCATCAAGGAGATGAGGATGCGAGCAGGAGCCGAGAACCTTCTCAAGTAAGAAGACAAATCTCAGTCGCTCCTTAAACACATTCGCTCCTTAAACACATTCGCGGCATTTCACATCAGCACATTGGCATGCTGTCACTCATGCTTGTGTTGGATTCGGCCTTCACTCGTAAGTCATCGTCAATTCTAAAAGGACGAAGGTGAGTCAGTGCCGGGTGGCAACAATCCTGAACAATAGTATGCCTCGGAAACAAAGAAGCCACTGTATACGGACACAAACATGGCAGCCAAACCCAACGCTCCACTAAACATCTTTATTACCTGACTGTATTCACGCAGAATGCTAAATGTCAAGCCTGACGTTGGTCTTCACATTCAGGTGACGAGCCCGTTCAAGGCTTTCAAATTCAAGTTTGAAGCCAAGGCTAGGGTTTCAAGTAAACATTAGGGTTTCATATTATGGATGGATGAATGAATAGTTTTTTAAAAAACAGGTTAAGACTTTCACATCTCAACCCCGGCGTGGCATTATAAGGGTTTTCACATGTGATGCCCCTGAGGACCCTAAGATAGTTTCTTTGTATTTGGAAAGCATTTTTTTTTTTTAACCTAGCATCTGCTATGCTATGCTATATTTTTCGATGTTAATTTCATTGGTTCCCCCTCAATGTTACGTTTCTATTTATCTTTGTCCTTTTACTTTGTTGGTTGCGGCTATTTTTCTTTCTTTCTTTCTTTCTTTATAATATCGCTGCTGCGACAATCTAATCTCTCTCTCGGGATGAATAAAGTATCTGCAGTATCTACTGTATCTGTGTATCTGCCGCTATCTTCCTATCGTTGCTTAAAATAGCACCTGAGCATGAAAAATGTCCTGCGTGTTTACACCCCTATGCTGTTTATAAAACTTCAAAGTCTCTTGCTCCTCTTCCTGCACCCAATGCAAACGACTGGTAGGACCTTGCACAATAAGCCTGATACCAAACTTGCAAATCGAAGGACTTTTTAATAAAGCCGCATGTGCGTGCATACGCTGGCTGGCAGTGTGTTTGTACGTGCGTACATTGCAGCCTTCCTGTCTGGCGTCTGGCATTCCTGCAGTGCTTCACATAGTATGCCCTGCTGAGGAGCTGATCAACTTTTCTTTTTTGTTTTTTTTTTCCACATTGTGATGCGTGCACAGTGAGCCTGTGGAAAGAATACCACACACTCTTGATGTCTTTACTGCAGTCTTATTGTCTCTTTGCAGTTTTGTGTGTGTGTGTGTGTGTGTGTGTGTGTGTGTGTGTGTGTGTGTGTGTGTGTGTGTGTGTGTGTGTGTGTGTGTGTCTATCTGCAGCAGGTGAAATCCGTCTGGTCTGACCAGTTTGTCTTTATTACCTTATCTAAGGGGGGAAAAAAGACAAGCCGTCTTGTGTAATGCCTCTTCAGTCAGTAGGATCACGGTTTGTGTTGAACAGCGAGTACCGTTCCTATTGTTTCGTTTGTTTTATTTAGGTTTGGCAGTTTTTTTTAAATTCCCTCACCAGGCTTTATTTGTTTTTTTACGGGCACCTATGACATGTATTTGTTAACTAGAGATGCTATCCAATGTGAGTCTTATGTCAAGTCAAAACCGTTTAGTAGTGGCCTGGCTTGCATTATTTTAATATACTGGTTTTAAGGTAAGATTTAGGGCTTTAAGACAGGGTTGAGGTTTCAAATTAGGGCTTCAAGACAGGGTTAAGGTTTTATATCAGGACTTCCACTTAAAGTTTAAAGCCATGGCTTCGACAGTAAATCGGGGTTCAATACATGGTCAATGGTTTTAATCTGGGTAAGGGGTTGCAGTTACGGTTTCACACCAAGATTAGGGTTTCAGAGCTGGATCGGAGATTTGAAAAAGGATTTCATCTGGGGTTAGAGTTACAAATTAAGGTGTGAGCCAGGGTTCGAGTTTCAAGCGAGGTAGATTAATCCGTTGGTAAGTAGGTTAGTTGTATCTTGGTTGTTTGGTTGTTTTTTTGGTCAGTCAGTTGGGGTTGGCAAGGAACAATCGAATCAAATGAGCAGATTGACACGTTTATTTTTACAGGACTGGGGCCGAGTCAGTCAACTTGTCTGCGGTCCGGCGATTGACACTGTTGATTTAAAATCAGTGGTCATCAATTGCAAACACGCCGAATTTGAGGTTGAGCGGGGTGACGACACGACAGGCTTTGATTGACGACGGCCAAGCGACATGTCGTCCTCCCATGACAAGAAAACGACAGACAATGACAAAAGGATGCGTCCTATCAGCCTGATTCACACAAAACATCCAGTGGCTCGCACGCCACTCTGTGTCAATGCAACCTTATCTACGCTGTGCAGACACACGCTACTGATTTTGAGACCTTGCACACTATGCTGGGGGGGATAGGAACCGTGCCGGCGGACATATAATTGACACTCATTGAAATTAAAAGCCCCCCCCATATTAAAAAAAACACCTGGGTCCCGATGCCCCCCCCTCCCCCCCAAGAAGCATTCGATGGAAACTGGGCTTAGTTGACAGCTGACATTTAGGTAGCCTGACGCAGGCATGTGGTCTGGCGGCATTACAACATGTAATAACAAGGCTGACGTTGGTGTGTGTTTGTCCGTGCGCAGGGCTACCTCCAACAGCAAGGTGAAGGACATGGTCTTGCTGGAGCTGAGCTACGTCAACTCCAACCTGCAGCTCCTCATGGGCCAGCTGGAAGGACTCAACAGCTCCGTGGAGGTCTACCAGAGCAGCCAGTGAGTAGGGCTGGTGGCGGCCATCTTCTCCGTCAGTATTTATATATGCGCAGGCGGTGGTTAGACTGGCTGTTTTGCAAAGGCACATTAGGGAAACACATCTGCTGCTGCTTGTGGTAAGGAGCGGTCATTATTGGTCTGTTATGGCAGCTGAGTTCTGCCCCCTGCGGTTATTTAAACACGCCTGTATGCCGCAGCCTGTAGCCTGATGCACGGGGTCGTCAGTCAGTCAGTGCCACTGTATCGCATTTGTTTGCCGCTTTGCATAACTTACTGTCCACTTACGTCCGCATATCATATGAAGTTCTGCTGTATCTGTCTGTTAACATTAGAGAGAGAGAAACATCTTTTTTTTTTTTTTTTTTTCCGGGGCCGATTTTTGTTTTTGTTTTATTAATATAAAGTAGTCAAGGAGGCTGCTAAGTGATATTTGGAGCCGAGAAAATATGGTGTAAAAAACAAAAACAAAAAACTGTAACAAGCATAGAAGCTGCTAACTGTCGCGACGCAAAGGATTCAAAACCCGTCCCCGTCATCTTTAAACCTATGTTGTCACTATCAACACAAGTTAAGCAGTAACTCAAATCATGCCAAACACGCTCTGAGATGTCGTTTCTGGCGCTGTGTGATGAATGACAATTGACAGCGTATAGTTGACACTCGCTCTCAGAAAGGTGAAACCAGACAGTTTGCTTTTTGGATGACAAAGTTCCTGAAATAAAACGAGTTATTGCGGTTGTGGTGTATGATAATCTTTCTCGCATGTATACGTGTCAGGTGCGGTGCAACTCGCCTAAAATGGCAGTTGGCAGGTTAGCGCTAACGAGCTTTCAATATGACTCTTTAATGATGCTAATTAAGGGAAAGAGATTCTTGTTTGTTTATCTTTCATACATGAGAACTTACGCCGGAAGTTGAGCAGACTCGCATTAAAAGTCGAACTGGTTGGTTCCTAACTCACCCAGGTTGATTTGCATCTCACTACCGACTTGGGATTCTGAGTCTCCATTAACCTTCATGATTCCTCTGGCTACCTCATGCTAAGTTCAGTGAACAAGGCTAGTTAGCGGATACACCAGAAACACCACAGACTCAGATGATTTGGTTAAATTGGTTCATTGAAACTAGTTACACTGCAGCTGACTCACAAAAAAACCCCAAAAACAAAACAACATTGGACTCAAGTGATTTGGATCTACTGCTTCACTCACAGAAGTTAGCAGTTAGTGCCCTATTGATTTGGCTGCATCGACATGAGTTCGCAGACTCACGGGAAACACTGTGCATTACTTCTGTTCCCATTATTTCTAATGGCTGGAAAGCCATTTTGCTGTCACACAGCTGGTAAAAGTATTAACTTAATAAGCCAATCGTAGACAATAATGTGGTTTTGTGGATTCTTGAGTTGTGAGGTCGATGGTCTCTCTCTCTCTCTCTCTCGCTCTCTCTCTCACACACACACACACACACACGCGCGCGCGCACACACATGGACCTCTCTTCATCTTTTAAAGCTTCCCATTTGTGACAGCGCAGAGTCCTGGCACATTAAAAAAGACGAATGAAGGCTTGCTGTGAGGCCAAGTGGCGTTTATAAAGTCATCAGCGAACCCGTGTTACAATTTCGAGGAAAAATGAAGAAACCATCAAGTAGCTGTCCAATTTCTATGAAATGATCCTCTGTATTGTTACCATGGCTCGCATCGCACAACAATCTTAAGTTTGTTGTTAGTGGTTGTCATGGGCGAACCGCGAAGTGTGTCTGATTGTGTGGGTGTGTGTGCGCGTGTGTTAAAGGAATAGTTTAATTTAAAGCAAGCATATCATGAAACAAAACATTGACAAACTGTCAGTCCTGGCCTATGGGTCCTTTTCAATAAAGATGCAAGCATTCAACTGTGGGTGTGGACAGATGGTTTCAAGAGGTTTCAAGTGGTCCATAAGTGGAGACACGTGATGAGGAGCTCAAGGTCGCTCTGGGTCAGAACTAGTGGAAAAAAATGAAAAATACTTCAAGGACTCCTTGCGCTCGCTCTCTCGCTCTCTCTCTCTCTCTCTCTCTCTCTCTCTCTCTCTCTCTCTGGATTATTTAAGTACCATTTTTATTTTTATGTTAATATTTCACTTTATGGTAAACTATATTAATTAACAGTGTCCCGTCTTAGTGTTCCCATGAGCCCAAACAGTCAAGAGACTGAGTTCTTTGTGTGTCTTCAAAACACCACACTTGTACTCCATTTTAGCCATTATCCGTCCTCCCGTCCTATCACACTTCACGTCATCGTACTGGTCTACAATAGAGGGCTTTTTCTGTGAAGGTAACATGAAGAGTGCATAGGAAGCTGAAATACAAGCACAGTTCTCTGAGGGGAAACAAAAAAAAAATCCATCTAGGTTTTTCCCAGAGAGTCCGCATGAATAGCTCCCACTGTACCTGAGCTTGTAACTCACTCTGACCGGATTCAACTGGTTTAACTGTGAGCTCACCTGCGTGTGCGAATCACGTGTGACTCGATGCACGGTAAAATAAATGTAACTTCTCGTTATTGTGCTGCGATCAATGTTCATCCAGTATGAGTGCAAAATGGAAGTTGACAAAAATATCCACGTTTTGATTGTTCACTAAATCGAGTCAGTGAACTGATACGACCAAATGATCACGGTATGGGGTGTTTCCGTGAAGGCGTGGTGCAAACATCAGGATTTTTCAAATCCTAAAAGATTTAGCTGTGACCGACCCCACACATAAAGGAAAGAAAATTAGCCAGAACAGACACTTCAGGCGTTTTTGCCTGTTCTTACCTCCTTTTGATCTCGTTAAACGTCATCAGTTGTGGTCCAAGTACTCTTCCAATTGAAAGTATGAGTAAACCAAGAATATACGGAATACCTGGATGTTGTTCTTGTCACCTATCTTCAACCAAAGATGCATCGGTTGGATACGTGTGAAGGCTTGGCTAGGAAAATATCCCAAGATGCATTTCATACTGCTATCACGGAAATACGTCAAAGTCGGGAGTTACCGTATGTTCTTAAACTTTGTGAATTCACAAGATCGTACTCTGCGTTCTCCATATTGAAAAACGGCCATTTTGGTTTATTTATCACTAATTCCCTGTTCGTCAGTCTAACGATTCCGATACATTCCGTTCCCGTCACGGTTGACAGAGTCACATAACTCGAGAGTTGTCGTCTGTCCCCACACACAGGAACATTTTTCGTTGTAAATATTGAAGATGTTTAATAATTAACATTGTCGCCTCGCCCCTTTTTGGGAACCTATTATTGGGACAAAGCCGGTCTTAACACACCTTAGACATGAGGGCAATTTTATAATAGGATAATAGGGCGATTTTATAAGACAACAGATAGTCGGGCCTTTGCCATCCTTGGTCGGGAAGCGGCAAACTCCGGACAAAAACAACCTGATTGACTACATGTGTAACCGGCCTAACTTGAGTCAGAGAAGAGATTGTCAGGATCTTCTGAGTGTGTGGTCTTTCAGGTTAGTCCAGTAACTGCAGTCAGTGAACCAATAAAATTCACTAGGCTGAGCCCACTCTGTGATCTGGAAGTCTGCTAACTGGGGTCATTGAAACTGATACAAGCACGTCATAAGAACCGAAGAATTATATGACTCTGCAGTGTTTCGGCTGAGTCCTCTAACTTGCGTCAGCCAACCGACACAGCAGATTCTTCTGAGTCTGCAGTGTTTTCCGCTATGTCCCTTAACTTCAGTCGGTGAACCGATCAAACCAAATCATCTGAATCTGTGAATTGCTCGAAGTCATCTTTATTTCTGGGGTTGGCCTCTTAAACCTTTCAGATATTGTGAAAACTGAAAGTGTTTTTTTTTTTTCTTTGTAATGTAGTACAGGGTTCACGCGGTGCACTTTGAGACGTAAACAAGATCCTTTGGGGTCTGTTCCATGTCTTGAACACTTCAGTGAGTGGTGGGAGGGGATGTGCATACATCTGTGTGTGTGTGTGTGTGTGTGTGTGTGTGTGTGTGTGTGTGTGTGTGTGTGTGTGTGTGTGTGAACGTTTTTTTCAGAGCAGATACACTCCTTCGGTTGAGAGCGCTCAGCCAAACCAGAAAGTGGTGAGCTCATCCTCTTAATAGAGGAAAGTGTCTGAGATTCACAAGAGTCAGCAGGAACAGGAACGTGATCCTCTCTCGCTTGTTTGGCAGGCAGAAGCAGTAGCAGCTTGGTCAAGTTTGCATATTGTCCACCTTGATATCAAGCTCAACCCACGTTCCATCTGTCAGCAGCTTCCTCATACCACAACAGATTGTTATGGTCACTGATCAAGACGGTGCTTTATGAGTGTCTGTTTTGTGTTAGCCGAATCCAAATGAAGGAAAACACCCCGGGGAGTTTCATTAACACTTTTGTGGACTGCGTTACGCTAAAGGTCCTCCCTTGACTTTTTAAATCTAAAACACCTGCTGTGTTTGTGTAGCGACACCATCTGCCTAATCCATGTGTCCGTCTGCGCTCGAGATTGGATGAAAATAGCAACGTTCACGTATTCTCTAAATGAGAATAAACAATCTTCTCTCAAGCTGGTTAACGACGTACACATTTAAATCGCATGTTTCTTGCTGTATATTGGACTTGAGCTAAGTTTGCAATAGGTCACTAACCACCATCTTCTTTCCTCTTCAAGGAAACTAGCCAGTCTTGAGTTTGTCAAATACTTGAGAAAAAATTCTCTGCAAGACATGACTAATAATGATTACACTTGTTCTCTTTCCTGTTTTGGATCTTGGCCAAGTTAGCCTTAGCTAGTTAGCCACAATGTGCATTTACAAAATATAATATATGTGGCTACTACAAGCTTTTAGTTCGGGATGCTCCTTGCTCAAGTGATGCTAGAAGCTACATTGTCATCAGGGGATGTTATGTGTAGAATTTCGTGGAAAGAAACCAATTTTAGCCATTTTGAAATTAGGCTGGTGTACAGCAACATGTGGAAAAGGAAAGCCCTGGGAATACTTTCCACATGCACTGTATCTTTTTGTGACATCATCGCATTTATCCCATTCATTGTTCGTACACATTTAAATCGCATGTTTCTTGCTGTATATTGGACTTGAGCTAAGTTTGCAATAGGTCACTAACCACCATCTTCTTTCCTCTTCAAGGAAACTAGCCAGTCTTGAGTTTGTCAAATACTTGAGAAACAATTCTCTGCAAGACATGACTAATAATGATTACACTTGTTCTCTTTCCTGTTTTGGATCTTGGCCAAGTTAGCCTTAGCTAGTTAGCCACAATGTGCATTTACAAAATATAATATATGTGGCTACTACAAGCTTTTAGTTCGGGATGCTCCTTGCTCAAGTGATGCTAGAAGCTACATTGTCATCAGGGGATGTTATGTGTAGAATTTCGTGGAAAGAAACCAATTTTAGCCATTTTCAAATTAGGCTGGTGTACAGCAACATGTGGAAAAGGAAAGCCCTGGGAATACTTTCCACATGCACTGTATCTTTTTGTGACATCATCGCATTTATCCCATTCATTGTTAGCTTTAGTAGCTCATATGTCTTCTTATGGTACACTGTACTTTTTAAAAATCATTTATTTCTCCTTCAATGTCATTTTAACGGGACTGATTTAAAAGTACTCTCTTGATTGACTTTCAGCGTTTCTGAACAATTGCAAAACAAAATGCCAACCTATTGTTGTTGACACTTAGGTGAACTTGGAATTATTTCAACAACGTCAGTTTAAACCATCTGTATTTGTCTTTTTGTGTGTGTTTTTGTCTCCAGGGAAACTGCCAACATCCCGCTCATTGCCCTGGGTCTGAAGGAGACCAAAGAAGTTGACTTCTCCACACCCTTTAAGGTAAAATACACTCATTGACATGTTTCACTGGTTGGATTAATGACCTAAAAGCCCTAAAGTGCTAATTTAGCATTGCATTTGACCAAGGTTTTTCCAGTTCAATGCTTTTGGGTCAACACATCTGTACTTCTGCCACCCGGTTAAATATTTACTCACAATAGAACAAAGCACACTGGCTTGAATGAGAGGGTGACGTTTCCTTATGTAAATGCTGAATTTTACATTGACTGTTACGGAATGTACAAATACGAGAGTAGGCAATTGTTTTTGAGACAAACATGGCTACACGCAACCATTTTATGACGTTTCTCTCTGACAGGATTACATTGTTTCACATTACAACGAAGACGGCGCCGACTACGAAGACGAGCTTGCTGACTTGATGGACTTGCGGCAGGTAGGTGAACTCGGATCACCCCCCCCCCACCCCCACCCCCTCAATTGCCACAAACCTTTGTTTTCCTCTTTGTGCGTGAGTGCAATGTGGCGGCGAAGTTTCATGACTCACTCCTCCAAAAATTAGCTCGTTCCCCGGAATCTGAAAAATTCACCCCTGTCAAACCAGTTTCTCATAACAGTAATAGATTAGATAGGCATGCCTACCATGGGCAGACTCTCAAAAAAGTCTCAAGAACTCCGGAAATCTGCCATTTAGTTTTATAGCTGACATTTTCAGTACATTTTTGCCATTTGCAGGATTCCGTCAAGCACCAACCACTCCGAGCTTTTGTTAAATCGCTAGCCAGTTGCAACCATTTGTAACAGACAGAAGGACAATGCTCAACCTAAATTGTCCTTTTGTTGTCAACCGTGTGTCATCGGAGTGAGGTGGCGAACTTGGATGACTCTTTGTGGAAACCCAAATCACTGGTCAGAGCTCCATCCAACTCAACTTTATTTCCACTGAACCACACTTTAGTTGGAGTCGGTGGTTGTGTAAGATGCATTTTATTGTCATTACCTTTGAAACGCCTACGTTACCTACAACCCATCATGACTCTTCTTCTGGTTTTGTTTGCGGCGAGAAATCAACGGTTGCCTGATGAGTGACTGTATTATAACATAACCTGAGGAACAGCTTTGGTCCTACGAATCTTCTACCAGCCCAATGTACTGTGTATGTAAAAAAATATATATAATAATAATTCACCAGCGTGAAGGATAAAATACAAAAACAAGGACGTGTTCTCACCCTCGAATGAATTGGTGTCGACTAAGATTTGTGGCAGTCTTGCGAGAGTTGCAAAGACGTCGATGAAATTGGTGACCGATCTTTATTCTGTTTTAACTTGTGGCGAGAAATCAACGGTTGCCTGATGAGTCACTGTATTATGACATAATCTGAGGAACAGCTTTGGTCCTACGAATCTTCTACCAGCCCAATGTACTGTGTATGTAAAAAAATAAAAAATAATTCACCAGCGTGAAGGATAAAATACAAAAACGAGGACATGTGTTCTCACCCGCGAATGAATTGGTGTCGACTGAGATTTGTGGCAGTCTTGCGAGAGTTGCAAAGACGTCGATGAAATTGGTGACCGATCGTTATTCTGTTTTAACTTCCAGTCGTGCAGGACACCAAGTCGCAGTGAGGCTGGCGTGGAGCTGCTGGCAAAGTACTTCAACCATCTTCCTCTGGTGGAGAGTCGATTCTTTTCGCCAACACATCACAGTAGCATATTCTTCACTTGGTACGATCTAACAAGCTGTCTAAGTGATCTCCGGTGTGAAATTTTAGCACTTGACAACATCCTTCTCATCTTTGCATTCAGGTACGACTCCTTCACAGGCGTCCCAGTGTGCCAGCAGAACCTGTCGCTGGAGAAGGCCAGCATGCTCTTCAACATGGCCGCCCTCTACTCGCAGATCGGCACCCGCAGCGACCGGCAGACATCAGCCGGCCTGAAAGAGGCCATTTCGGCCTTCCAGAAGGCGGCAGGTATGAAGATTATATCAACAGATCACTCTCAGATAAGTCAGTTGAATCGGTTCACTGACTTCAGGTATCAGATTCACTGGAAACATTGATTCAGATGATTACCGGCAGGTTATATTGGTGCACGAACTCGAGCTCGAGGACTCGCGGGCAATATTGCGGCCTCAGATGTTAACAGGCTCAGCGAAAAGCACAGTGGATTTACATTATCAGTCCACTGACTGAAGTCTGCAGTCAATAAAACTGACTCAGATGACTCAAGTCAACGAAATTACTAGCGAGTGACAAAGGAGTAATGTGTCCATCAATTTGAATTTACAAGCGGTAATCTCGGGCCAACAGTTGGCCTTTATTTAAAAGAATGATCATTTTGCGTGGCTCTGCTTTCAGGCATTCTGAACCACCTTAAGGAGACATTCACACACACACCCAGCTATGACATGAGTCCCGCCATGCTGGCCATGCTCATCCGCATGATGCTGGCGCAGGCGCAAGAGTGTTTCTTCGAGCAACTCGCCCTGCCCGGCGTCCGCAACGAGGTTCTGAGCCTGCTCAGGATGGCGCAGGAGGCGGCCAAGGTGTCGGAAGTCTACGACCACGTCCACCAGTCCATGATCCAGACACCGGTGAAAGACAACGTGCCCTTTTTCTGGTCCACTATGTCTCAAGTGAAGACCAACCACTACCGCTCCATGGCGCACTACTTTGTGGCCTCGGCCCTGCTGGACCATCAGGGTAAGTCCACACCGTTTATTCAGAAGAACTACCACAGTAAGACAGTGGTGAGTCATAAGGGTGACAAGATTCCCCCAAAATGTGCAGTCTTTCAAAATTCTGGCTCCGTCGTCTTTTGAAAATCGGGTCCCAAAATGCCTTCAAATTAAAGCCAAACATTAGAACTTAAGGATTTTTCAGCATACGTGTTATGTACTCAACCCTTTTGTTTCATCTGACTCTGGGAACCATGCATCCAATTTGCTGACCAAATCCAGTTAAGATTATCCTTCGATAAATTACAGGCCGACATTCCATGGGGGTGGGGGGTCGGGGGGGGGGCCGTCTTCTGCACCCTCCCCCATGTAACGTAAATGATACGACCATTTCTTTAAGCAATCAGATTTCACATTCACCTCGACATGGCAATATTATTGTCACCTGATTGGTTGATCCGAACAAGCGAAATTCGACGAGCCAAACAGGTTTGTGGTGATCTGCACACATCAATAACAATCGGGATCTCTTTGGTGCTGTGAGATTTTTCCGATGTGAAATATGTGCCCTGGCTCAATGACGGTTGGGAGGCGCGGTTCCCAGCAGCAAGTTTGATAGTGTGGTCGAGATAAAAGGCTGGTTTTGTTTTATCTCTTGGATCTAACATATGTCCACTATCTACTTGTATTTTGTATTTTATTACTTTCCCATGACTCATGGTGCTGATGTGTGTCTGTGAAAATACTGCAGATGCTTGCCGGCCAGTTGATTCGATCCCACTGCACACTCGATTTGAGATCCTAAACGAGAGTGATGTTCAAGGACAGGGACAGGCAAAGTATGGCCTGCCACAAACGGAGTCATGAAAAATTAAATCCATGAATTTGTCTTTTTTTTTTTTTTTTTTTTACCCTAAAATTAAGTGAAATTTATTTTGTCAGATGATTATTTTGTTATTTTCTACTATCTCAGTATATTGTTGATGAATGGCCCACGGGCCATACTTTGCTCAACTCTCGATTGGGTGGTGTACGTTGGTGTACACAACATTGTTGTTCATTACAAAAACATGCATGAGTGCCTACATACTGTCAGTCAGGATGTGAATAGTTTCTGCTCGTGGATGGAATCACTTTCCTCAACTCGACTCACTTCGGGCCCCAATGCTGTTATGTAAGGGCTATTTCGAGACACACACAACCACACGCACGCACACGCGCACACTCTCATATTGTGGCTAAAAAGAATCTCATTTCTAAGAATTGCTGAGAGCTGCTGAGAGCTCCCAATAAGAGAGAAGAATGCCTATTTCTTTTGTGATTGCGATGGCATCTTTTGGCCGCTAATGACTTTAGCATGCTGTGAGATTAAGTGTGGGGCGAAGAGTACTTTGTGTTCTGAAGTGGATGTGGTGGGGGCTGAGTGGAGCGGTAGGGTGGCATGGGGGGACTGCTCATTATGGGATTCCTGTGCAAAACAGTGGATGGACCCGTTAACTGCACGACCGCCGCATCTCGGGAGAGACAAAATGAAGTTAACGTGATGTTTTTTTTTTCATTGTCACGTCTATGCTAATATCCGTTAGCCCATCTATGGTGCTAAATAAATGTTCCATCAAGCTAAAGGACTTTCATAAGATGACATTATGGTTTGGTTATAAATGTTGCTCCATGAAATGCACAATGTTTACGTTTGTTTTACATGTCAGTATTGTATGAACAGCTTGAAGCAAGCACACTTTGCCTCATAAGGAGAACTGTGTGAGCAAGTGAGTTGGAGCAGGTGCTAAGCAAATCCTTTATCAACAGCATTCTAATCACTCTAAATCAATCAATCACACTTCAAAAATACCTTCATGACCGAAAAACATGAGGCTGGGTACACAAACGCTGACTGAGACCCCAAAACTGGCTAACTGATATACTGCAGAATCTAAAAGAAACGTGCGCGCGTGTGTTCTGCGTGTGTCCAGTTGGTCCGAGTGACGACGAGGACCAGCAGGAAAAGTCCTTGTCCCAAGTGTATGATCACCTCCCTGACGGTTGTTCTCCTCTGGACATTCTCAAGAAGACAGCCGAGCGAGAGCGAGTTGGTAAGTTCACCATCCTGTGACCCTCAGGCGGCGCAGAATCTAAAAGAAACGTGCGTGTTCTGCGTGTGTCCAGTTGGTCCGAGCGACGACGAGGACCAGCAGGAAAAGTCCTTGTCCCAAGTGTATGATCACCTCCCTGACGGTTGTTCTCCTCTGGACATTCTCAAGAAGACAGCCGAGCGAGAGCGAGTTGGTAAGTTCACCATCCTGTGACCCTCAGGCGGCGTCTTGTGTTTCTTGATTGCGTAATCTGTTCTATTTGCCATTACTTGATTATTTTAAGTATGCATATTTGGTTGAATGTCTGCTATATTCGATCAGTATTTACTGTAACCCTTTGCTTTTAATTAAACTGGTTCATGGTTAGTATGCACTGGAATCCTGTACTGTGATTGGAAATGCATGCTCTCAAATGCATTTAGCTGCATAAAAGGAATAAAAATAGACTTTTTTAAAATTATATGGTCTTTTTGTGCATTCAACGCAATGTAATCTTGATGCAGAAATTGTTGTGTAATTTGTTTGTGTAAGTCCCAGTCCCATAAATCGCCACCTACCATTATTTTTTTCTTTTCCTGCGGATCCTATCCCCAGCTTTTTGCTGAAAAACTCACCAATTTCCGTTTTTAAAAAAATTTTAACTTTCTAAAAAGAAACCCCACGATGCCACCCAAACCCTACTTTAACAGTAAAATAGACATAAACAAGAAAGTACTCTATGATGATACATTTCGACTGGCAGACTACGAAATGTATATGCCATGCAGGAGTTTCAATTTTTTTACTTTTTCTTTTTAATGTATTTTTTAATTTGCTTTATATTGCGAACCAAAATTGGGATTTGAGTGGGAATGAAAAGTAGAGGGAGTAAGGTAGGCTGCTGCCCGCAGACGGTCGCGGATGCACTTCAATCCGTTCATTTGCAGGAAAAAAAAAACAGTCAAACACACAATACAAAATGAGAGCACTGAGAAGGAGCTGGCCACTCTTCCTCCATTTGACATCAGTCATTAGGCCACGCCCCTAAAGGCCACGAGGAGGCACTGAGGATCTACTGCTTGTGCCATCACCTCAACAAGCTGGAGGTGCTGCAGGACATCCTGAAGGCCAGCCACCAGCGCTCGCTGCACAAGGCCAGTGACAACCAAACGGACGAGGAGTTCACCGATTACCTCGACGCGCCCGACATTATCTGTGAGCTTTCCTTGAGTTTACCTGACATTTTTTTTGGACTGCTAAAATACTACAGTGTTTGTTTTGAAGTATTTTATTTATTTATTTTTAATATAGCAAAAACTGAGCAACAAGCAGAGATGGAGGTTCCCGCCACACTAAAGGTGAAAGTCAACGACTTTTTCCAGAGGCTGGTACGTGGGTTACTAATCTACTACTCACAATTTTGGGTGTTAAGTGTGTGTATATTTGTGGGTGTACGTATGTTTTTGTCATCATAATTGAGTGCAAAACACTAGCGGTGGACAGTGGTGCTTGGGACACATACTGCTATTAGGGGGAATAGAAAAATGTGTACTTTGTTCCCAACTACTAGCCATAGTTTACTCCGCTGGTGGTTTATCTTGCCATCATGACTTTTAATCTCCCCCCACGGTGAAATTGTTGTTTTGACAGCTTTGGTGATTTTGACTAAACTTGGTGGTGGTGAGGTGATGCATGTGTTAAAGTAGAACCCACTAATTGATAACCTCTTCCATGTGCGAAAAGGCACAAAGGCAAGTAGTACTGTTTTTGATGGGCGATTATATGTATGTTTTTTTTTTTTTTGAAGTTTTTCAGGATTATGCAAAAAAAACCTACTACAATACATGTAATTAGGAAGAAACTATTTTTACCTCAGTCAAGCATGGAAGGTACTCGGTCCTGTTTTGATGATTTATACTGTACATTTGTTTCTTTGTTGGAAAGAATTCCAGAGAAAAGCAGATGACCATTTCCATTTTGTGCAAGGGTGGTGCATGTGCGAAGCAAGATTTATTTGAATGATCACATTTTGATATATCTCTGTTGAATTAATGGCCTTTTTGGGGACCCCAGTATGTGTCAGTTGTTCATGGAATATTTTAGTCAGGACTGTTCCAGCCTTTGTTTGTTTGACTTCAATCCAAAAAGCATGTAATCTCTTTATAGGATGACGGGATTTAGCTCGATAGAGATTTTCCCATCAGATATAAAGAAAGTACAGAATCCTTGGAATGACTTTTTTTCATCCTTTTGCATCAGTTTGCATCAAAAGGTCTACTTTATATGCATACTGTACAAATCGGCTCCATTTTGGAGAAACGGGATTAACCACAGGGTTGTATGGCTGTACTGACCCGTGTGCGTGTGTGTGTGTGTGTCAACTCAGGGTCCTCTGTCGATGTTCTCTGCCAAGCAGCGTTGGACAGCACCTCGGAAGGTGCGCCTGCGCACGGAGGACAGAGACCTGGGCTTCACCCTTAAGGGGGAGGCACCGGTCCAAGTTGTCTCGCTGGATCCCCTTTGCCCTGCTGCTGTGAGTGCAAACTGCGGTCACCCCTCACTTAATTTTGTGGTCAATTTGGAATGAGACGATTTAATCGAGTCACAGACTCAAATTAGCGGAAACGTACTCGGATGATTTGTTCGTATTGATTCACTGACTCAAGTTGTGGTTCTCTCGGTTCGACGAATGGAGTGAGTGGAAATACTGGCGACGGTTTACTGACTCAAGTTTGACTGGGATGATTTGGTCGTCTTGGTTCACTGACCTAAGTCAAGAGAAGAGACAGACAGTGTACACAGTTGAAAGCAGCATTAAGGTTCTAAAGAGGTTTATGACCTCCTTTGAGTGGCTTTATGTAACACCGCTAATCTGTTTCGTAGCCCACGAGGCTTTTCATTAGAGTTAGCGACTATTCATGATCCCAGCTGACTCGTAATTCAATTGAAATCAGGAGCTTTATTTTTGGTCCATCTTATTTAACGTAAAAGGCAGAGCGAGGAGATAAAGTGATTTGATATTCCAAGTATGCTGCAGGGAGTTCATGTCAAGCATCTGGCTTCTGTTAGTGTTTGACAAGACCAGCTTTAAAATCACACGTCTTAAATAAATCTTCCTCTCCCAAATGACTCCTCCGCCTTCTCTGGAGTTTATACTGTAGATGACCTGAGCGCTGATTTAGAGCGGCTTGTAAAATTTTAACTTCAAACTTAAAGGAGCTCGACATCATCATTGGGTTGGATTAGCATTCTTCTTACTGAATTTCCGCCAAACAAATTGACAGATAAAACTCAATCTCATTGACTTCTGAATAGGGATCGAACATGTAAACAATCACAGAGCAATTTTTAGATGCTGTTAATTTCAACCATACAGCGAGTACCAGATAGTTGACAGACAGTAATAAAAGAAAAACGTCAACAGTACATCACGATATGTCGCTCATTCAGTGAACCAATGTAGCGTTTCCTTACGCACATCAATAAACCACAACAACCAATCTCAAGTCAATATGACAAAACGAGTACTCTTCTTAGCATTTTTTTTCTGGTAAATCGAATTAGTGAATCGATACAACAGAATCGGTTTGTGTCAGCAAACCGCTACGATTGCATCATAGGAGATCTCGCGATTACTCCATAGTATTGAGAAAGTGCAGAGAGTGTTGTGAATGATTTGCAAGTCAGTGTTTGCTGATCAAAGTTGTTGAAGTGGACCTGGGTGTGCAAATATTGACACTCTGCGGTGTTAGGAGGTCTGACTGAACCGTTTGTGGCAGGCCGATGGACTGAAAGAGGGCGACTACATCGTTGCCGTGGGCGAGGCGGAATGCAAGAGGTTGGGTGTGGGTGAGGTGATGAGGCTGCTGAAGGACGTGGACGAGCAGGGCGTTGACATCACGGTGGTCAGCGTGCTGGACAGCAACCCGACCATGGTGAGGCCCATTTCACACTTTATTGTGCAATACCAGAATAAAGTCTGATTTGTTTTTCCCTCAGGTTTAAAAAAAAAAAGGCGAGAATATTTGCGCCTATGATGAGAAAAGTTGTACTTTGAGTACAAAAAAAAGATGCAATTTTACAAGAATTAAAAATAAATTTCAATCACCAAAGAGCAAATAATACGAAAAGAATAAAGTCTGACTGTATTTTTCGGCCCACGTAAAATCCTCAAATTTTCGCAATAATGTAATATGGTGCACCCTACGTATGGATGAATGTCTGCTTTTCAGCTCGTCATCTTTGATTCAAATTCCTTCCATTGCATTGGCATTGTCGTTCTCATCTGCACCTAATAGCTAGCAAGTGTCTGATTTTGTCATACAGGAACCAGGACTATTTCCTGCGTCTGTATCTAAGAATCATGGAAAATGTAGTTCCGCTAGCCTAATGCAACCTCATGTGATAAAACAAAAGATGTACTCTTACAGAGAATTGTCGCATAAAATGTCGATTAATGAGAATAAAGTTGGAAGCTTGCTAAAATAATGTCGGGTTTTTTTTCTTTTTTTTAAGTGCAAAAAAAAAGGAAATTAAAACCCTAACCCTCACAAGAATTAAGTCTGACTTTTATCAAAAAGGACATATTTTTTTCCAATTAAAAAAAGTGGTCATCTTCCAAGAATGAATTTGCATTTCAGAACACAGAAGACTAAATTCTAGGGGAAAAAAATCATGCTTTTTGATTGTAGTTGTATGTTTTCAAGTTGGATAAAAAATGTCATTTTAAGAGTAGTCTCATGATCCTAAAATAATGCAATGTTTCCAAAATGTCATTTTATGAAAATTAAGACTATGACTTAATTTATAAAAATATGACTTTTTGAGATTAAAATCACACTGCGTTAAGTGTAAAGAAAGGAAAAAAACACATGTAAAAAGTTGCCATCTGTGTGTGTGTGTATATGTGTCCAGCCGACAAAGAGCGCCACCTTCTGCGGCAACCTGCCCAAGACGTACTCCATGATCTGTCTGGCCTACGACAGCGACGACAAGAACGGCAAGATGCGCAAGGTCAGCAAGAAGTCGTCATTCCTTAGCTGGGGCTTGAAGAACAAATTGAAGAGCACCAGTACCGTCAGCCTGCCCACCACAGAGCAGTCGTGGAACAAAGCCTGCCCGGCCTTCCCCCCCAGCTCTTACAAGGACGCCACCCTCTACTGAGTACCCAGGTGCCCTCTGCAGTGGACAAATATTTATATTGAACACACATGTATAACCAAAAAGTTTAAAATGAATGAATGAATGAAATGTTATAAGCTGCTAACCAGTTGTTTCTGTAGTTCAGCCTTTAAAGGGATCTTGAGTTAAGTGCCTGAGCCAGCCAACCAGTTGGTGACGTTAATAACTGGGCGTTGGATGAACCGAGTCTGTGTGCTGCGTTCGCCAAAATATCCAGGAAATTGGAAATTTTGCTTGAAACAAACAAAAAAAAATGGCAGATGACTACAATAACCTACCTTTTTTTTTTTTTTTTCCTCAGTCGATAATCCCGATAACAAACTCGGGACATGTGTTAGAAGATTATTAAAGTCATATTCATTTGAGTCAAAAAAAAATTAGCTCATGAAAATCACGTCACATAAAAAGAGAGCATTCTTACGAGAATCAAGTTGTTTCCCCCCTAATATTAATCTTATTAGAATAAAGTCACATTTATTTCTGTTACAAAAATAAAGTCGGATTTTTGGCAAGTAAATGTTTTCTTCAAGAATTGTTTTTTTTTTTTGTAATGTTAGGAGAATAAAGTTGCTTTTATGCCAGTAAAGTTTTTTTTTTTTTTTTTTTTAAATAAAATAACCACATTATTTTGGGTGGGAGGAAAAAATCACGGGAATGAATATGTATCATTTTTTTTTACAATAATAAACGTGCAATATAATTGGAATGAAGTCAAATTAATTTGCAAAAAAAAAAAGATTAATAAAGAATAAAGTTACATTTATTTGCATAAAAAAATAAAGGCATCATCTTACGAGCGTTTTTACTCACCTAGAACGTTGCACTCACAGGAGAGTAAAGCCGCATTCATTTGGGTAAAAACAAATCTTTTGAGAAAGTCGCATTGTTTCAAACAAAGAAAAGATTAATAAAAGTTGTACTATTGGAGTTGATTATTTGGTTAACAAAAAGCCATAATCTCAACAGAATCAAATCCCACCCCCCAATTCCATTAAATTCACATTAATTTAAAAAAAAATCTGAATAGGTGTAATCTTATGTGACGTGGTATTTTCAAAGAAATTCCAATCTTTCTTGCATTGATTTGAGAAAAAAGATGACAATTAAAAAAAACATTTGTTTGAGTAAAAATCAGAAGAATGAAGTCCAACCAGTCAGGGTTCACATCTGTCTTTCTCGAGTTTACAGGTACAAGAACTCCGCCTGCCACTTGTTATCTTTACTTTTTACAACTTTGCTTCTCAATTAAGTGTGTACAAATTCCAAAGAAAAGCCATCAGTTTGCGACCCGACCTACAAAGGGTCCCCGTCGTTCGATGAACACAGTCAATTTGTCCAAATGTTTCCATCAAAATTTGCCTTTTTTTAAAGTGCCTGGGACGCAATGTAAATACAGTACACATTAGTGATTCAAGGTTTGCCTCGTGTATACCGCTAATTGCCTCAACGTTACAGAAGTGCAGTTTATCTGTGCCATCTGACTTTAAATTTGACTTTCAAACACTTATTGTTAATTTTTCTTGCACTCTTCGTCAATATAAATTTACCGTTGAGGGAAGAGGTAGTGCTAAAATAAGATAATTAAAAAAAGGTTTTGAAATTCTAATTCCAACTCAAATGGCACAGAAATGCTTCCGTAGCACGTCCATGAATAATAATAATAACAGAACATCTTGTAATGTGAATGTAGGAGCAGACTGACCACATCACCTTTAATTGAACATTCCACGGAAAGACTGCGGCTATTTTTGCTGACACTTTCACAGTGTTGGGCTGATCACGTGTGTCTACAAAGTAGATTCTTATACATGTTTGATAATCAAATTTATTATTTATGTCATACAAAAAATATGTTCCTGTTGGGTTTTGTGTAATTTGTGAATGGAAAACCTTTTTTGCACCTCGAAGGAATGTATTTTATTCTCTTGTGTGTGTGTGTGTGTGTGTGTGTGTGTGTGTGTGTGTGTGTGTGTGTGTGTGTGTGTGCTGGTACATTGTCATACATAAGTAAACACTTACGCATTTAAGTGCCATGTTTTTGTAAAGTGCTCATAATGATGATTTCGTGTGTTGTATCATCTGAAGGTTTATGCATATATTGGACACCCATAGTGTATATTGCAAACACACAAAAAAAAGCATTATGTTGCTCACTGACTTCAATTCAGGGGCTGTGGTTGTATTATTACCAGCTCCTGTCGTGTATGTAAATGCTTCTCTGGAAATTCTTGGTGTCTTGTGTTGAATCTAATCTTAATAAAACAAAGGGGACAAAGACTTTTTGGTATTTTTTTTTCTGAACTTCCAAGCAGGTCGAGAATGACTGGAATGACTTTGGACACCCAACGAGTCAACAGTGGTGTTTTTCAAATCACATGACAATCTTGCTAAATCCTGTTATACACGCCTTCATTCAGCTTATTCATTTTACTATACTTAAACCTAATGAAAAAGACAACCACAATATGTACTAAACTAAATGAAGAAAGAAAATCAACCAGAGTAATTTGCAAGTTCTATACATCCAGGTGGGCGGGGTCTTCCCTAAACTGGTTGCACACAGATAACAACCATTCACACACTCAGTCATATCTAGAGACAATATAGAGCGTTCAAATAACCTACCATGCATGTTTTTGGAATGTGGGAGGAAACTGGAATGCATATTTGGTCAGGTAACAACCAATCACAGCTCACATGTTTTTCTGAAGCTGAGCCATGATTGGTCTTTACCTGAGATGAGCAACTGCAAAGTAATTTTCAGTCGACAGCAAGTGGCAAAATGGCCGACCCCTGAGATAGACAAAACTTTTTTTTTTTTTTACTGCTCAACACGTATTCCACATATGCAATATTAATCGGAACGTATAAAGGAAAGTTTTGGTTTGACTTCAATTTTAAGTACAAATGTTGACAAAGGGAACATTTTCTCATCTGTCTCCCTCCAATGCATGCAGCTACAGTGGTTACAAATGCACCATTGTGGATTGTAGGGAAACGTTTAGGTTAATATTTAAAATTAATGTAACTGTATGCAATACATGCCGTGAATTGTGTGTATTACAAATTAAACTATTTCAAAACAATCATGGATAAGAGTTTTTGTGTTGTTCGTGGAACCTTATCGCCCCCTACAGACAAAAAAAATTACCAAGAGAGGCGGTTGCTAGGCAAAATCAAACGCGCCCCTTATTGGACAGAGAGGAAGAGGTGAGCCAATCCGAGCGGCGGATGAAGAGAGGTGCGATATGGCGGAGAAGCGTCTCGATACGAAGACGCTACAAGTAGCAGCCTGAAAGATCAGCATTAATTTGGCTATAAAACTACATACTACATTGGACTTAAAAGCCGGAAACTGTTGTAATAAGTTAACAGCTAAACGATAACTGTAGGCACGTTGCGTTTGAATGTCCGCCAGACATAACAGCGTTTCTACAAGTTAGAAATACTTCGGAGACACACACCGTCAGCCATGTTGAAGCTGAACCCCTGGAGGGAGAAAAACAAACAATTCGTGAGTGTTACTCCACGAAAGTTGTTTTTGTATACTTTGGTATTGACGTTGTTGCATATGTAATGTTTGAAAGGGGACTGAGTAAACGGAGAGGAAAGAGGGAATCGAGCAAACGAAAAACAACTTCAACAGTATAACAGAGTAACGTTACAACAACACTGTAACCTTACACAGAAGTTTCTTATCTCACAACATGTGTAAAGAAATGATGACATAGCAAATGACGGGATGGGACTGACGAGACAGGGCAGGAGCGGACATGACAAAGGTGCTCTAAAATACTGCATTAAGAAATTACCATATTTGCGTCGTCACGCTCGCCTCTATATACTTTCGTGTGTGTTGTTGTGTGTGATCTCCCGCATGTATGTCCGTTTGTGTGTGTAGAAACACATAGCCCATGGTTTGGTCCCTGCCGCCTCGATCGCCCCCAAGGCTGCTGTGCCTCGTACCCCACCCCCGCGCAGTCCCGCCCCCTCACCCGAGAGACCCAGGTACCCCGAGTCGCCTCTCCTCATCTCCCTCTACTTCCTTTTATTGTTTCTCACCAGTCTGCCCTTTCTCCAACCTATTATTCATACAGTACGTAACAGGCATTGGATGAAATGACGTCAGTGCAAACGTCTGGTGTGATGTATTACTTGTCAGGGCTGCGGAAGTGAGTGGTGGGTGTTAAACGCCCTGTCCCAGCACGGTGGAACACAGACGGCGTACTGGCAATGATACTAACTTTGAAAGAGGAAAATGAAACATGGATGAGGGGTGTGGAAAATTGCATCTTACACTGACAGTGTCATAGAGAGCTTAAATCCTTATACAGTGGTGATTTATTTATTCCAGTACCGGGTGTCTATTTTGCTTTAATCCGCAGATATTAATATTGTCCGGCAATTACAGTCAAACCTCAGTTTTCGTCCATAATCCGTTCCAGAAGGCTGTTCGAAAACCGAATTGTTCGAAAACCGAAACCACGCTCTTTTAAAAAAAAAAAAAAGTTTATTGAACACGTCTGCTCACAATGGAAAGCGACACGTGGAAGCTTCACTTCCTCGTGTAAGGAAGGCGAGAGGAGTCAAGTGGTGCATTGAAGTGCACTCTGTTTGTTCGAGAACCGATTTTCGGTTGTAATCCGAGGCATAAAAAAAATCAAAATTTTTGGTCGAAAACCGATTTGGTCGAGAACAGAGACATTCGAAAACGGAGGTTTGACTGTACTTTGTTTTGTTTGTCTGCAGATCGGCCTTAGCGGCTGCCATTTTATCTTCTTCGCTGACCGGACAGACATGGGTTCTCCCACCGGCCCGTCCCCGGTCTTTCTCTGAGAGCGACCAATCAGAGTGCTTGCTTTCTGAGCGCAACATCTATACACGGTGACACACATGCTCCCTCCATAACTATTCATCCCATGAAGAGACTTTCTAATTCTTTTCATTATTCTAACTTGCGTTGTCCATTCTCCTCAGTGATCGATGGTCAGAAGGCTTTCTGGCTCGTCCACCTCTGTCTTCCCCTGATCACTCCGAAGAGGAGCTGCAGCACCAGGCTGGTGAAGAGGAAGAGGAGGAGGAAGTGGAAGATGGAGGAGGAGGTGTGGAGGAGGAGGAATATGTCTCCCGTACTCTGGACAGTCGGAAGAAGTCTTCAGACATGGAAGCAGCAGTCTGCGCTTTGCCGTTAAAGCACTCAGTGAGGATCAACACAGTTGACAAGTCTGAATACACATTGAGTCCTTCTCTGTATTAAATATAACAAAGAAAGACCAGCTCAGGAAAAACAATTTGGACAAATATATATTTTTTTTAATAGGCAATAATGTTTGTATTAGCTTTACTAGTTTTGACGTTCCCTGACACCTACTTCAGAAGTTGTCAGCTGAGCGCTGTCAGGCGTGTTTTAACCAGCTGATGCTTATGATAGACATGTCACAGTGCTCAACTGACAACTTCTGAAGAAGGCAGTAATAAATGATAAAACAAGTAAAGGTAAATACAAATCCGAATGTCCTAAAAAAACGGAAAAAAAATCATTATGTGTACAAGAAGACAAAATAAAAGTCATTAACCAACAAGTTGGACAGACACTCAAAGAAAATGATGCCACAGACAATATGAAGGTCCGTGAGGCAAGTTTAAATAATATACACATTAAATTTAGCATATTGAAGCATTGCTCTGTACTTTGTATTAAATATCAAACACTACAAAGGCAAATCTCATAGGCAGGAAGTTCCAGGATAAAAAAAAAAAAAAATCAGTGTTGCTAGAAAATGAAGAACACACACAAAAAATGTACCTTTTGGTGTTGCATTGAGTCATGTCACCACACGCCTGTGAGTCTTGAACCTTGACATTGGGAGCCCTTGTGAATGAAGTGAAACCAGACAACGACACTGGGTGGCGCTATTTTACACAGTACGACGGATAGGTACTAGCCACTCGGACTCCAACGACACCCAGAACAAGTATCAAACGAATTTGTTTCACTTAGAAGTGATTAGAGTTAGTATTATTATAAACAATGTTTCTTCTTGCTTTCCAGACAAGTTTGCCCCAGTCAAGTCCGATGTTGACCAGCAGGGAATCTTCTCCAGGTACTAGTCACCTGTCACACAAGATTTCCAGTTAGTTGATGCTTGTCATTCACCATACATCCAGAAGAAAGCATGCAATCTCACAATCACTGCAGGGGAGAATACAGTGTTCCTATTTGAAGTCATGTCAACACTTCTATTAACGATACTGTGCAGGCAACGTTGACAACAGTAAAACTTAGTGCCCTTGCGAGGTGAGTCTTTTTCCTATATTTCATCTATTAATATCATCACGATATTGTCCTGAGCAGTTAGGGAAGAGAATATAGCTTTCCTGGGTCTCAATTCTTCCTTCTGTGAACCCCCCACCCCCATATAATCACGAATTCACTTGAACTCATTTGCAGAGTGTACCCATCTGTCAGTGGGAAAAGGGGAAAAACTTTAATTGAACTAATATCAAATAAAATATATAATTATAAACCAGAAAAAGCAAGAATGCACACTCCAAGATAATGAAAAGATAAATTGAAATGGATGCATAATAATAATAACATGCACTACGCAACCATGCAAATACTGTACAGTATGCCCTCAAGAGACCGGTTTTATAAAGTTCTGTCATGTCCAAACTCATTGATTTGGGTGATTATATTTCTTTTTTTTGAACGATTAATCGAATGACTTTTGACAGAATTCCAGAGGGAAAACATCAATGTGCTTCCTCAAGCCAGTGGCAGCAAGAAACTGAAGAAGAAAAAAGACTCCACAAACAAGAATGAAGACATGCCATGTAGGCATCTATTACCTCCACTGTGTTCTTCTTCTCACATCCCAAAACATTTCTTGTCATCCATTTCCTGTGCAGCCACTAGCCACCCCAAACAGCCAAAAGCACAGAGTAAGCCATCTCGTCAGTCCAAAGTCCTGACTGAGGACGGGGAAGCAGTGAAAGCCCTGACGGAGAAGAATGCCTTGCTGGAGGAGAAGCTGCGACACCTGGAACAGGAAGTGAGTCGCAGGCGAGCCCAGCCAATCAGGACCTCGCCTATAGGTACATATTTCTTTCAACTTGAAATTGCTCAATTGTCCAAGAAATGAGAACCCATGTTCGAAAACAAAAACAAATTAAAAATGTTCGAGTGTTGCGTCAAGAGTGAAACCCATTTTAACCAAACAGTATGATTCAATCTAGTCGATAACAAGGAATTTAATTGTTCAAGGCTCTCAATTGACTAAACGTAGCTATGATAGTGCTTAAAAGTACAGTTTGATGTAAACAATATATTATTCATATATTTAAAGAGCTGAAGTTGGAAATCACAAACTCAGACATTCTGTAAATCCCCAATCTTGGAAACTCAATTATTTTTGCATCAACACGGTTACAACGGTCAAACAAAAACAGACAAGGTGGACACAAATGGCCACCATAAAGCCCTGAGGGTTAATACTATAAACTGATTTTCTTTTTTCTTTCTTCAGGCATGCGAGCAGAGCTGCACGACGCAAGGCAGCAGGCTCAGGAGCTAGTAGACGAAAACGACGCTCTCAAGCGCAGCGTCCATCGTCTCAGTGTGGAGCTGAGCGCCTACCAGACCAAATACAGGCCACTCAACAAGCAGGAGGTACAAACAACAACATTCATACTCTGGTGACAGCCACAACAATCACCCATTAGTAAGTTTTCTATCGTGCTTGCCCCCTTTAATCAGGTTGCTATCTTGCCATGTGTTTGACAAGCAACCGTTTGCAAGTTGGCAGTCAAGCAATTCTTACTACCAGTACTATAATTTACTCATTTTTAATTTACCCAATTCCCACTTTGACCGCATTTCTTACATTTCAATTGATTTGACAGCATTTCGATCTGGTGTCAGGTCATGAGCATTCCCGCACAAATTTGACAGAAATTGCAATCTCTCTTTGACTGTGTTGTTATGATGTGTGTTGCAGAGCTCCAGCTTAAGCAGCCTACCAAAGACGGGCTCTCCTCCTCCATGGCTGGTTAGTAACTGATGAAAGCTGCCCGGAGTAAGCTTAGTGCAATACTTTGTGATAATTGTTGCATATAAATCAGGCAATTTATCTTGAAAGTCATGTTGATGGCTCACAGGGTCTCTCGGTTGTTGCCAAGACGACAGTGTCAGCTGTTAAAGATAGCAATGGAGGAGCCAAGACACATTTCAGATGTGTTAGTGGTGGCATATCAGTTGTGTTGTTATCACAAAATGGTTTACAATGATTAGGCCTTTTCCAAAATGGCTGACAAGCAATTTAAGGGAACAGCTGCATTTTAAGATTCGTAATATGAAGGGGGGGAAAAAACATGAAATAAATGTGAGTGTACATGTTTATTTCATTTGCCCTGCGGTTGGCTGGCAACCAGTCCAGGGTGTACTCTGTTGACATCTCTCCTCGTGTCCATGGTTGGTCTAGGTGGACATGAAGTATTTGTCTCCTCTGATGTTGGCCTACGAAGATATGTTGAATGAGAAAGACGCTCTCCTGCGCACTGCTGAGGTAAGACGCATGTGAACATCACGGCTAAGCCAATTAGTTTTATCAAGCCTGACCACAGAATGTGATTGATTGCTGCAGGAGGAGGTGAAGAAGCTTCGGGTACATGTCGAGGAGGTGGTGAAAGAAAATGAGAAGTTTCACCATGAAATGGCCAAGAAGACTAGAGGCCTCCGCCAGGAGGAATGGTAAATACAAGACACAACCTCATGTGTTACATTCTCTCATGACGTTGTTGCTTTCTAATAGATTTAGACCAGGGATGGGCAAGTATCTACCACACTCTGAGTGGCTTCTAGATGAGTAAAAAGCAATACAGTGGTACCTCTACTTATGAAACTAATGTGATCTGGAAGTAATTTCTTAACAAAAAATTTGTAAGTAGAGATGCTTTTCCATGTAAATGCCCTAATCCATTCCAAGCCCCCCAAAATTCTGACATAAATGTTTCGTAAAGCATAAAAATGCATCAAAATATGTAACAAATACATGTTACAATTCGATTATTGCCCATTAAATGAGAGTTGTGCATAATGTAAAAAACAAAGAATAGAGTAAAGAATAAAAATGCTGGTCATTTAACTGTTAAATGCATCCTCATAATTTTTTGCCCTCTTTAGTTCATGTTCTCTCTCAGAAGTGGTTTTTGCCTGCCGTTTTGTAAAGAACTGATCCAAGGACGTTTGCTTTTGTCGGCTTTTAACAATCCTTTGAAAATATCCAAGGCAAACATCAGCATCGTAAGCGATTGCCCGACTGGTGAACATTTTTTCTGGGTGATTCCCATTTACGTAAAACTGTCGGAACACCTCATTGCCTGAGGGGCGAATGATGAGGACGCTGCATAGACACATTTGGATCTATCGACACACAAAGACACATACGTAGTGGTCCCTCTTAGCCAATCGGATGCCAGGATAATGCTCGGGGATAGCCAATGGCAGAACAGCTCTAAGTATGTTGCGTTCAGGAAACTTGGAGCTGCGAGTAGCAGCCCATACTGTATTTCTGTGTTTTGTATCTTGAAATTTCTTTCGTAACAAGAGGCAATATTTTCCTGTTCCGGCGTTTCGTAACTTGAACATTTCGCATGAAGAGATGTTCGTAAGTAGAGGTACCACTGTAGTAAGATTTGAAATTGTAAGTCGGAAAACAGATTGTGTTAAAGAATGAGCTAGAGATGATGAAAATTGCATAAGGAAGTTGTGTTCGTGTCTCTGTGTGCAGCCACCAAGTGCAGCAGCAGGCCATGCTGGTGCTGCAGGAGAATCAGCTGCTGATTGAGCAGCTGGAGGCTCTGAATGCCAAGACTGAGGCCGAGCACAGCAAACACCTGTCTGAAGGTCTCTGATGTCTCTGATCTACCTACCCATCCAGCCATACGTCCATCGTCAGTCTATACATCTGTCATCCATTTGTCCTTCCATCCATCAGTCTACCCATTCTTCCCCTGTGCAGTGTCCAGAGTGTCCAAGCAGCTGATGCTGCTCGAGGCAGACAACCAGCGTTTGCAGGAGGAAGTGGACGAGAGTAGGAGGGAAGCACGGCAAAGCGAAAGGGAGGTGCTCACTCTGAGGAACCGCCTCCAGGACGCCGTTACCTGGGACGAGCACTGCAGCATCAGCGGGAAGCTCAGGCGGTACGGCATTAACTCCGCCAGGGCGGGTTATGATATCATCACCTTAACGGTTACGCAACTCCGTATTCCAAAATTTAACACACAACACTCTGACAACAGAAAAAGAACATTCACACAATCACATCAATAATTGAGCACAGCTTTTGCTATGATTTTCTGAATTGACCTCAGGTGAATCTTGTTTTCTACAGCGTAATTTGAGTCAACCTGTGTTAACTTCTGTTGACTGGACATGATTTAGTCTCAGAGATAATGGGTAAATCACACCCCTGCCAGACTCTTGCTCCAATCCTCACTAATGTTTGAACAAGGCATTCATGGGTTCCATTGAGGTTGTGAGGGTCAAGAGGGTTGAGTGAGGTCTAGCTGTGATTGACACCAGCAGTGACAAACTATGACCTAAAAAATGTATTACTACGACAAGCTGTGCTAAATAAACTAACTAAATCCTATGCTGGTAATCAGTAACCTGAAAATGGATAAAAAGACATTAGCAAACACGGCTATTGCAACTCCAACTCGCTACGAGTGGGGGGGGGGGGGGGGTGTAAGAGACCGAGCCGCTTGTTTACCCCATGGTGGCAGAGTGGCTACGTTTATATACATTATATAATTGATGAGCGCAAAAAAAAAAAAAAAAAAAAGTTGATTTGGGGACAAGTACCACTCTAACAGTGACTCTCAAAACACAAACCCAGTATGAAGTCAACAGAATTGACGATAGAAATCCAAGGCAAGATTTTCGAAGATGCAATGCTAATCAGCAGTGTATAATAAGTGTACCAATATCGCATTAATCCATATTAGTTGTTGGTCCGAAGTGATATTCAGTCAGTTGAGCTGCTTTCAAGGTGTATTGGGAGTGGCATGCTTTCCCCTGCGGCACTAAGTTCCATTTTCTGGTTCTTATCATACTTTTCAGGCAGCTAGAACAGGAGCAGAGCAAAAACAGAAGTGAGGTGGATGAGGCGCAAGTCCTCCGCCATCAAAATCAAAGCCTGCGAGCGGACAATGCTAAACTGATGGCGGCTGTGGAGAGGGCGCAGGAGGAGCTGGAGAACAGCAGACAAGCCAACAGGTGAATGTGACCGCAAGTCCGTATTGAGCAGCTTCTCCATTTATCGAGCAATCATCCGGCTATGATACATCATGCAGCCATCCATCCATGCATCCATCTAGCCGCTATCTGCCGATGAAGTATCATCCGCTGATTTTGCTTTCTTCGGATAATTACTGATTCCTTTTTAACCCCTACCAATTGCAGAAGGACAAAGAGGCATCTCAACGCACTGAAGCAGCAGAAGGATGAGTGCGTGCTGAAGGAGGGCAAGACGCGCACTTACCTGGAAGCCGTTGTTTCTGTGGCGGATCGCATCTCTCTGGAGCGTGACCAACTTGTACACATGGTGCGAGATGACTATGCATAGTACATGTGATGCACACTGTATGCAATGGAGCCGGAATCCAATAGAAAATAATACGGTGGTAAAAAAAAAACAAACAAACAAAAAAAAAACGCACACAAAATGCTTGAAGAGCTAGGAATGTGCACCATCCACAAAAAAAGGACGGCCTTGTTTCTTGTCTCGGCCTGATACGCTGGGTGTTATGACGCTACGTCGCTACATGTTATCATAAGATAAGTGTGGAACCTTAAAACCTTTAAATTCAACTTTCAAGTTCGATTTAAAGGTTTTAAGATCCCACACTGGCAACCACAGACCTCTGAAGTGACAGATAAACATTTGAACCGCTGTGTTGCCTGACCTTATGCAAAACATAAACCGATCAGGCGGGAGCTCAATTCACTGGGCCTGTTTTTCACAGTGTGTGTGTGTGTGGGGGGGGGTCAGGGCTAGGGCATTGAAAGAAAACAAGCACTACTCTGTGTTGCCAATTTAGCAACTTTTCGAACCCCTGTACCGACTCATTTTCAGAAAAGCAACAAATCTAGCTACATATTCGACTTACTACCTTATGCCGCTTATCAGAAGCTAAAACTGGGAAAAAGAAGCTAAAACTGCTCAACGCTAATCTTTGCTCACACTGTAGCTCCGCTCATATTTTGGCTCTCGCATAATTGTACTTGCACTGTAATAGTACATGTAGTCCGGTGAATGGACTCTGGTTTGCAAATTTTCTCCTTGCCCGGGTGCCATGTCATGGCCCTAGAAACTCAGTGTGGGGGTGAGATTATGTAACTGAATGAATTAATACTGTAAACTTTTTTGTATGATGTTTTCATTATTGAATGCTGTATGTAGAAGGGGGAAAATTAGACCCCCCAAAAAATCAAAGTGAGGAGCAGTGAATCCCTTTTTTTTTAACAGGACTGTGTGCAAAGAATGTTGGGAAACGATTGGCCATGGTGGATAGAAGCAGTGTAGCCTCAGATTTGGAACAAACGTAGCGTCAGTCAGCAGCCGAGCAACAGTGACTCGAAGAACATGTGCAGGTAGACAATATCATGTCCTAGTGGGAAAATTAATTTAGCCTAACTGTCGGTATGTGTGTAGCCAACATGTAAACCCATATTCAAATTTTGGTCTCAAATCCAAATGTTTTCAGTCGATAATAACTACAAATAAAGACATAGATTCCACTTGGCTGCGCATACCATTGTGGAGTCCTTGCCTTTGTGACAACTGTGGCACTGTAGAACACACTGGACTGTTTCGTGTGCGGCACGACACTTTGAAATGTCACCACATTCAGATTTTTAAAAAGCGGCAGCGCGTCATGTGTAGAAGGTCAGCCTGACACACGCCAGCACAGATGGAGCATAATAGGAGCCAATTTGTGTGTGTGCGCAGTAGCGAAGAGTGTGTTGTCGCTTGTTATCCGAGTTGTGCACACAAATGGCTTTGGGCCATTCGAGGCATAATTCTCCTAACATCTAACAGCGATTTAAAGTTGACATTTTCTTTTCGAAGGGGTTATAGACCAAGCGCAAAAGCGATTAGCAACGATTTGCGAATTATGCATGTGCCCCCTATAAAATGTTTGCAATTGCCGACACAATTTCTTTGATATACAAGTTCTATGACATTTTTCCGATATATGAATATGACCCATCGCTCAGCTGATTTTTTTCACCTTCAATCCACATTGGTTTCCTTGTGGTGGAAGTACAATATTGGTTGGTGGGGTTACACAGCATTTGGCATGCCTGCAGGTTACGTGGAGAGCAAATGTTGCTAAGCTACTTGTTATGTTTATACAGTCCACTAATGTTGAGTGCAATTTTTCTTATGAAAAAACGTTTTCAAAAAAATGAATTTTGCCGCTGTCTGCGGGGTGCCTGGAACAAATTAATTACATTTCCATTCATTTTAATTGCGAAAGAGGATTTGAGATATGAACGGACAAGTATGGTCACATAACCATTTCAACTCATATCTTAAGGCACCCTTAAGTACAAAAAAGCCCCAAACCATGATCCCAAAACACGTTAATATCATTTCAAGCTTATCTTTGAAACAGATGGCTTCCTGATTATTTTAATTGGAAAAAAAAAATCCACCGAAGCTGCTTTGTAAACCATAAAAATCGCAAGTACTGGTTTCCTATTAGCCATGATTATGTTTTGGGCTCATTCACAGATAAATCATAAACAAATGTTGTCTTAAGATTTGACAGAAAAATTACAAATGCCTGTATATGTGAATGGGCAGTGCAATCCAAACCAAGTCGTTGTTCGTTAGGTTCCACAGAAAATATCGCATGTCGGTGAGTTAATGAATGGTGATTGTAGTCTCGGCCGGCTGTCACTATCTCCTTCAAGTTTCTGTTGCTCAACTCTTGCCTTCCTGTCACCCCTCCACTTCCTCCATAGGCGTCCATACTGCAACAGGAAAAACAGGGATTCATCGGCAGCATCCTGAGCGGGACCGTCCGATTCGGCAAACTGCAGGAGCGCGTCAAGGTGAGTTGCTCTATTGCAGATGGGCTGCACACTGAGCTTTTAGTCCTTTAATATGTAGTGCACCACCCCCCCCAAAAAAAAAATCATTTCTCTCATGAAGTAATTTGTTCGTTGAATCATGAAGTAAATGATAACATTAAAGATTAATTTCTAAGATAAATTATTTGACATGTATTTTTAGATTTATTTTATGACATAAATTGTGAATTAAAATGTATATTTTTATTCATATCATTAAGGCACTGGCTCGTTGATTTACTCTAAATACTGCAATAGGAATATTGTCAAAATAAATCGTTTGCCATACAATTAAAAAACAGCAAGTGGTTTATTAATGCAAGTGAAATTAATTTGAATTATTATTATAAAATTGAAATTATTTAATATTATAATACACTATTTTACTTATTCAACATACACTTTTAACTTTTTTTGGTTTTTAACTGCATATTCTATGACCTGGAGCATATTACGTCCATTTTAAAAACCAAATGCGGCCCTTGAGCGAAAAAACGTGCCTGTCAATGCTCTATTTGCACCCCCACAAATAATAAAAAGCTTAGCAAACATATAATGTTTTCGTATTGATCGGTGTGCTTCACAGCCCCCCCCTCCGTCTTGTCGGTCACTGCACAATTGATGAACGTCAGCCGTCACCAAAACAGCCATCTCTCGAGAGGGTTCATTACGCCTCCGAGGTCCTTGATGACTGCGCGGCGGCCAGACGAGCACAATCAGGACAGTGAAAGGAAATATGAGCTGTTTGTTATACAGGCTACTGACTCCAATTAAGGATCATTAGCATCCGCTTGCCAGTCATTACCACGCTCGCACGCCATGACTTTGCAGTGAGGACTGCAATTTAGTTTGCGTTTATCTCTCGCGAAGCGTTGCTCGCTCACAAGAAGCCGATGTACGCATTCGACAATCGAACATGAGAGCAGATTAGTGGAATATGTGGTTTGGAAGGCTCATATTGGTTCGAAAGCAAAGCAATCAACGCAGCCTCGCAAGACTTTTTCAAGAAAGGCTAAGTGCCACTTAGTCACACTGACGTCATTATCGCCAGAGCCAAGACAGTGATCAGTGTCCTATTAGTCAAAAGGACAAAATGTGCGGAAACGCTCACAAGGCAACTGCAGAGTCACAAGTTTCTCGTCAAATTGGTGAAAGCTTTGTGCCAGAAATGCAAAACAACTCAAGCTTTGACTTTGTGCAACCTTGCATGTATGAAGTTTTTCATTGGTCTGTTGAGCAACTCTTTGACGGCGACTGATCGTTTGAGTTAGGTGTGTTAGAGGAGGGAGACATCTAAAACAGGCTGGATAGGGGGCTCTCAAGGACCGGACATGGGCACACCTGGTTTACTTATTTGTTTAGTTGGTTAGTTAGTTTGCCGGGCTGTTTGTTAGTTGGTTAGTAAGTGAGTTTAGTTAGTAAGTGGTCAGTTTGATTTTCATTTGGTTGGTTGGTTATTTGGTTCGTTGTTTACCTCATTGCTGAGTTGCTTAGCTAGTTGTTTGGTTATTTACTTGGTTAATTTATTGGATTATTTGTTAGTTGGTTTGTCATTGAGTTCAGTGGTTAGTGAGTTGGTTAGTTGGTGTGGTTGATTAGTTGATCAGTAAGCTTGTTTGTTTTTTTTTTTTTATAATGTGGATTGTTTGTTGGTTAGTTTTTCTGGGAGTTTAGATTTGTAGATAATTTATTGTTCAGTTGGTCCATTGGTTGCTTGTTGACACGATCGATCAGTTCGTTACTTAGTTTTAGTTTTTTGCTTATTTGTCAGTTAATTGGTTCTTTGGTTAGCTGATTTTAAACAACCATCGTTTTTTTGTATTGTATTTTTGTATTTCGAGAATATGTTTTTAAATTCTTTCATGCTCCATAATACATTTGGCAAATGACCAACAGACACAACGATGATTCATGGGCGATTATAGAAAAAGAAAATCCTCAATTTATTGAGTCACCAAGTTGTAGTTATTAGCAGGAACAGCAGAAAATCAAATGAGGTAAAAACCTACGTTCAAAAAAAAAAACATAAGCATTACATAGGAGGGCTTTACCATCACAGTGATTTTCCTAAAAATGCAGCATCTTAATTGGAAATGTCTGAACCATTGAGTAAATCACATTCATCAAATCATCCACACTCTTCCAGAAATGAATGTACATTTTCATTGTACATGCTTTAACTATTTTGTGGGAATACATTGAGAGCCTGTTAGGGTGGACGTCTTCGACCTGCCTCTAAATGCACAAACTCTACTGATGGGTGGTATTTGTCTCCGTCCGTATTACCACTGCCGGTTTTGTTTGGCCGGCGTTCATTCCCTGGAGGAGCAGTCGCACATGCCCTGGCACAAGCACTGGCAGAAGCCGTAGACCAGACACACCGTGAGACTGGACGGCACCAAACTGACACACACGATGCCAAGAGTCACCCTCTGAATCACCAGCAAGTAAATCCCAAGAGGCAGGGAGCCAAAGTACAAGAAGCCCAGTAGCCACACCAGGATGCGTGGGACGTGGTTGCAGAATTTGGTCAGGGAGTCCTGGTCCGCCTGCCCATTGGAACCCGCCGACAGCGATTCCACGTTGCGCTCCAAGTCGGAGCTGCTGTTGGGACTCGGGAAGCGCTGCGGCTCCCTCTGTACGTCCATGATGGTGATAAAGAGGCAATTGGATGAGTCGCGGGACGGGTTGGACGAGAAGAAACTCTTCGGGGAGAGGACCACCTCCTGGTTGTGGCCCAAGCTCCAGGATTTGTTGCGTGGCCTTAAGCGGGACATGATATTGGCGTCGTCGGGCAGGGCCGATACCTCGTACTCGCAAATCTGGGTTTGGTGGCGACAAAACGGGCAGCAAATGCAGCCTGTGCCATCAGCACCATAGAGTATCTTGACCAGGCAGCGGGCGCACACCCGATGGAGGCAGTCCAGGAGTTTGGGTCGGCGGTTGTGTGCATTGTAGCGCTGGTAGCAGATTTTACATTCCAATTCCTCCGATGAAGAGCGCTCCTTTTCCTCCAACTCAACCTGAGGGCAGCTCATCTTCCAGCCGAGCTCTGAAGCAGACAGACTGAGGATCAATAACAATTTATGTAGGGTTAGGGGGTTAGGGTTAGGGTTATGGCTCAAGTGGTAGGTGGTGTCAGGGTTATGGTTATGGATAAGGACTGGGGTTATATGTTAGGGCAGCGGTCCCCAACCTTTTTTGCGCAATGGACTGGTTTCATGTCGAGGACTATATTGACGGCTTGGCATGGAAAAAAATGTCAAAACAGGCTGAGGGGTAGAATTTGGGGTTACAATTGTGGTTTGAGGTAGCATGAGGGGGAGGCCCATTTTGGGGACCCATTATCAAATGTTTGTTTTCATTTCCTTTTCACAAATGTTCCATGGTTTTCATGTGGGCTGTTTATGGGTTTGTATTACGTTTAAAAGCCTCAATTTTCCCGACCCTAAGCCAATTGCTTATAGCCTGCAATGCCTCCATAAAAGCCATCATGTCACTTCATCATTCTATCACCCGAGCAGAACTGATGGACACTTTGGCATTCATTGCCTTTGTCATTTACCAAATGAGCTCTTAAAGAACCAGGATGCTCCCAAGACGTAATCTATAGATCCCCATTTTCTCCCTTCATCTGAAACCATATGCACTCTTTAGGACCCGCTCGCTTCAACGTTTGAGGTAGCATGAGGGGGAGGCCCATTTTGGGGACCCATTATCAAATGTTTGTTTTCATTTCCTTTTCACAAATGTTCCATGGTTTTCATGTGGGCTGTTTATGGGTTTGTATTACGTTTAAAAGCCTCAATTTTCCCGACCCTAAGCCAATTGCTTATAGCCTGCAATGCCTCCATAAAAGCCATCATGTCACTTCATCATTCTATCACCCGAGCAGAACTGATGGACACTTTGGCATTCATTGCCTTTGTCATTTACCAAATGAGCTCTTAAAGAACCAGGATGCTCCCAAGACGTAATCTATAGATCCCCATTTTCTCCCTTCATCTGAAACCATATGCACTCTTTAGGACCCGCTCGCTTCAACTACCACCCAAGACCACAGTTATCATTTCAACCTGCATCGATCCAAGCAAACTTAACTTGACCTGTAATAGGTATTTACTTATAGATATATATGTGTGTGTGTGTATGTGTGTGTGTGTGTGTGTGTA